ATGGTCATTACATTGTAGACTGAAATTGCATTTCAATAAAGTTATACAATTTTGAAAAATTTGCAGTGTTGCAAGACTTTCTTTCCAACCCAATATAAACCTGCTGTTATATAGGAGCTTCCATTAATATACTTCTTTTAAACTGAGATTTACAATATCCTTTTGAGATTAATTTTTATCTCCATCTTGCCTATTCATTTCTGGCTGCTTGAGTCCGCTAGAATTGATTACCTGATTCTATCAAAGTAGCTTAATAGACCAATAGGATGGGAACTATCTGATGACTGCACTCTTCAGTTTGGAAAAAGACCAATTCAAACTCTGAGTATTTGAAGCATCTCCTTATCTTTGTATGGTAGAAGTTGCTTGCCCAATTGGGACCAACTCTCCCTGATGGTGGGAAACGCCTGAAGACACATATCCAAGTACTACGGGACCAGCTGGTAGCCATAAATTTGCAAGCGTCTCTCCTTAAAGGTGAGCCTTTCCCTTTCTGTTAATGTCACCTATCAAGGTTGTCTTCATTGTAATACCCAGAGTGAACTCCAAGTCCATGAATCAAGAAGAATGTGATAGAAGGGTTTTCTTGAACTTTGATTCTCTTGCCTCTTAGGTGATACATCTCGGGAAACTTCTACTTCCTCAGCAAGCATTATGAATGGGCAGATGGGGTCTGTTGTGCAGCCTACCTTCAGGACATTCACATTACCATCAGGAGGTCGCGTTGAATATCCATCCATGGCCCCAGATGTCCGCATGAAGATGTTTGCTGAGAAACCTGCTGCAAATCGACTCTATGGAGGACATATGAATCCAGGTTGATCATGAAGTGGTTCCTCTTGCTAAAGACACTCATTTGATATGATTTTGAATATCCTATATGCCGTTTAGAGCGTCAGATGCAGGCACGCATTGCAACAGAAGAGGTTGTTCATCGAATCCACAAGTCTCTTGAAACGTGTCCTCCTGAGCATACAGAAACACAGGACCCAGCAGGTCTCAAAGTGCACCTCATGGCACATCAGAGGGAAGCCTTGACATGGCTCACTTGGAGGGAGACTCAGGTTCCTCCTGGAGGAATTCTAGGTCTGTTCACTATCACACCATTCTGCACTTCCATTCCTTCCATTTCTGTCTATGCAGGGACATTTGACAGCTTCCTTTTATGTTTCAGCTGATGATATGGGACTTGGGAAAACACTCACAATGATCTCTCTGATCCTCAAGAGCAAGCTGGAGGAAGATAATAAAGCCCAGGCTGATCAAGAGAAGTGGTTGTCCACAAGTGAAGAATGTGTGCATTTTTCAGTTCCTGCCCTGCTCTCTCTGTAAAAATGTTTGATTTGAAATTTGTACTGTCCTACTTTCTATTTTTCTAGGCAGAAATTTGATTCCATCTCAAGCAACTCTTGTGGTTGCACCTGCTAGTCTGCTTGGACAATGGGAAAAAGAAATTGAGAACAAAGTCAAGAGAGGCCTCTTGGAGACTTGCATCTTTCATGGACCAAACAGGGAGACCAGTGCATTGCAGTATGTTCTCATACTAGTGATTAGATTCCAAAAAATATACAGAGTATCTGGTAGTAACATCTGTTTTGGTTCTTATATCCTCAGTCTAGCTAAACATGATGTTATTATCACCACGTATATGATAATTGAGAAAGAGCTTGGTCCAAAAGCTAAGGTGAGCCATAGTTCAATTTTTCTTGTAAATAATTTTGATTGTGCATTACTTGAGACTAGAGAGTTTACAGTGGCATACAGCATAATAATTTCTGATGACCTCCAGGCCATGAGCCTTTTGGGCAGAATTGCTTGGAAACGTGTGATTCTGGATGAGGCTCACCAAGTTCGCAACCCCAAGAGTCAGACATCCCAGGCTGTTTGCAAGCTAAGGGCTATGCATAGATGGGCAGTCACTGGAACACCTGTCCAAAATCGAGAGACTGATCTCTTTTCCCTCCTGCGATTCTTGCGCTGCTCACCTTTTGATGAGCATCATGTGAGTGAGCACTTTTCCTTCACGAAGTGAATCCTTTGTCCTGTGGCTCATGGGAGTGGTGCTTGTGTAGGTGTGGAAGATCTGGGTTGAAAACAAGTCTGCTCAGGGAATGAAGCGACTCAATTTGCTCACGAAGTCCCTACTCTTACGTCGAACCAAGGACCAAGTCAATCCCAAGACAGGAGCTCCTCTTGTTGTCCTTCCAGAAAAGAAAAGCTTTTGTCATAGAATGAAGTTGCAACCTGAAGAGAAGGTCATCTATGACCATGTCCTCACATTCTCCCAGTATGAAATACTTGCATTTTCATTGAAACAATTGATGTCCTGTTTTCTGAAGAATCTGGATTTAACTTTCCTGCAGACATGCTTTGCGGCAGTATCTGATGAAAGACAGCGAAAGAGAGGCTCAGCTTGAAGTTCGATTTGCAGGAGCTCCTGGTGCATCTGCTCAACCACATGGAGGCCCAAAAATTCCTGGTCAGGATGGTATGGATGTGAAGGCTCACCATCTACTTGTCCTGCTCTTACGTCTTCGACAAATTTGTTGCCATCCTGGACTCATCAAATCAGTCAGTTGCCTGCCATCATGTTGAAACTCTGAGGAAGGCAGCCTTACATAGTCACACATTCCATCTTAGATGCTGGATTCTGAAAGTCGAGCTGGAGCAGGCATTGAAGATGAAGAGGAGGAAGACTTAGACCTCTTGGAGCAGCTTCAAGGTCTCTCTATTCGAGCAGATGGAGAGACAGTTGATGAAGCAGTGACAAAAAAAGTCTTCACTTCAGTTAATCCAGTGTTCAATCCAACCAGACGGAGTACCAAGGTACTTGATAAATGCAGTTTGCCAGTTTTGTTCACTCCCCATTTGTCCCACATGAGCCAAATGATTCTTGTTGATGAATAAGCTCCTTCTCAGGTTTCTCCATTATTAAAATCTAATAGGAAAGAGATCATTTGCCCCTTGGGACAGTTGACTCCTTGATGTCCCCAAATATGAGACTGTAGACCCCTCTCGATTAGGGTGAAACTCCTTTATTGGCAGGTAAGACTTGCTTTCCCTTCAAATATCTGCCCAAAGAGAGATTTGATCCTCAGGAGACATCTGAACCATTTGGCCAGATCTTGAGTTTTTATCACCAGCACTCAAATCCTATATTCCATTTTATTTCTCATTGACCCATGGCGTGAACGTCATATGGCTTGTTCAGCATGAAAAGCCTCCACTGCCATGCTAGGCAAGGAAAGGTTGGATTGGCAAAAAGTCCTCAACTGTGAAAGGGTTAACTGGCTGAACTAGTCATCCACCATGCAGAAAAGGAAATCAAACTACCAGCCTTACTCCTGGTGAAAATGAGCTGTTGACCTGTTTTGGTCACCTGCATATGATGAGGTACCCTTTGTGTTATTTGTGCTGCTTTGTATGTGCCTGTAGGAAATTCCCTCAGGAGCACCTCTTAGAGTTTATGTCCAGTCAGGGACATACATCTCTTCAGTTGACTAATTTCTTTTTGTTAAACATGGCCACCTACCCTAGTTGAAGGCCAGCATTAGGACAGTTACTATTGCATGACTCTCCTTCATTTTCATCAGAGGTTGAACTCTTAATGCATCATCTTCCACAGTATTTTGACATTCAGGATCCATTTTGTGAATTCTTACAAGTGGTGTATAGGGTTACCAACATTGCCTCCATGCTAAAAATGTGCGCTTTGCCAATTGATTAATGGCACTTAAGCATTTCAACCTGGGTTACAGGTTTCACACAGATATAGCCAGGAGGGGACATGACATTGTGCAAATCTTAAATTTATTGCTATCTTTGCTAGAATTTGAAGGACGATTTTGTCTTTTCTCATGTATCCATTTTGTTCTCCTGGATAGGGTCAAGTCATATCTTGGGTTTATTCTATTCTCCAGATCAAAATGCTGCTGGAGCAATTGCAAACTACGAGGGACAGTTCAGGCTCTGAGCGAGACAAAATCGTGGTGGTGTCTCAATGGACATCCATGCTAGAAATTGTCAAGACCCATCTACAGGAAGCTGGGTTTCGGGTGCAGGGAATCACTGGAATGGTCAACATAAAGGAACGTGGGAAGATTGTCGAAGACTTCAATACCAACCCCCGGGGTGCTGAAGTGAGTGATGGGACCTGGTGAGTGTAGGTCTAACTGACATACATAGTCAAGCATGTTGCAGCAAAGAATTTATTTACATTCCTTAGGTGCTGCTTCTTTCCCTTGGGGCTGGGGGGGTTGGACTGAACCTTGTGGGAGGGAACCATTTGTTCCTACTTGATATGCATTGGAATCCCCAAATGGAGTCACAGGCTGCTGACCGTATTTACCGAATGGGACAGGAGAAAGATATCACAGTGCATAGGTGAGCTCTATACAGTGAAGAGAATGTTACTTTTCAAAGATGTAGTTATAAATAATGCATATTCTCTACAAAATTAACTACTTTATGTTTATTAAATTAAACAAAAATTATTACACAGTTCCAAGTTACATCTTACAGAAAGTGAAGTATTCCTTATTGTTACTTTGCCTTCCTACTTTCTTTTGAAATAAATTATTTGATTCTGGAAAATTCAATCCAAATTGAATGCAATCCAGTTCAGGTAAAGTTTAAGTTAATTCATTCACATTTCACTTTTGTTGACTTGTGATTTCTTTATGTACTCATCTGTCTTCATGCCATCATGTTTTACTTTTCCTAATGTCCATTATAGCCTAAAAACTAGGACCACACAAAGGTATTCCATTAAACCAGCGGTTCCCAGACTTCCAGAATTGCAACCCACTTGCTGATGGTAAAAAAATTTTGCGACCCTCCAGAATCGACCTTTTCTGCAGGGCATGTTTTATCCTGAGTGAATGCTGATATAGTGATTTTTTACACTGGAAAACGTTTGCAACCCACCTTGATGCCTCTTGCAATCCACAGTTTGGGAACTGCTGCATTAAACAATATTCTGATAATTGGAGTCAATTGTAATATGGCTATTGCAGATATTTTCCTATCAAGCTGAAAAATCTTTTGATAAGTTGACTTGCAAAGTGTGGTATATCCTAAACAGAAGCTTTCAAATATTCTGAATTCTTGAAATGAGCTCAGAAATTACTTGTTCTAAGTTCAACTGCAGGGTCTATCATCTTGGAGATTCACATGGTATTGATATGGGAATATAGTAGTTACCTTATAATTCCTGGATATGTGCTCAATTTATTTTTCAAAAACCAAGCAAAAAAGTAACAGCATAAATTAAAGTGTGGATTAATTTGAACAATCAAAACAGAAGTATATTAATCCTAATATTACCCCATTCTTTCATGTTCCTGGAAATAATCTCCCATTTACCTTCCATGAATCAAAATAAATGAGGGCATGTGGATGGTTTGCTTTGTATGATGATGAAGGGGTGTAATATTCTCACAACGCAGGAATGCAATAGCTGAGCAATAAGGGGACCTTTCCTCTAATATTTTAAAGGAAGGGGAAAGGAGAATATAAGTTTCCATAGAATGAAGTTTGGATAGTATTGGAGCTTGGGATCATATGTATATTCACCATTGCCAAGGCAAATGTACCAGGCCTCAGAAAACTGGAGCAGTCCTGAGTAGCACAGGATGATCCCATGGACATTAATTTGGATATCATTAGTATCTGCTAAAAATTGAAACATATGAGCTTTGTTCTGCAGATATATGCACAAATTACCTACTTCAACTTATTTTGAATAGGAAAAAACTACTCAGCAAGAAAGAGGGTATTCAAAGTGTCTACTTTGAAAGTCTGATGGGTGTTATAAGTGGCCCCTTTTCCTGTCCATTTTGCTGACAATATAACTACATTCTTTTTACCATTCTCATATGTATCTCTCAGAGCATTAAGATTAACAATATTCAAGCATCTGTTTCAACCAACTTTTTCAGCAGCTCTTTCAATTTTCCTGTCCATTTTGCTGACAATATAACTACATTCTTTTTACCATTCTCATATGTATCTCTCAGAGCATTAAGATTAACAATATTCAAGCATCTGTTTCAACCAACTTTTTCAGCAGCTCTTTCAACATTTCAAGTTATGCAGATAAGAAACCCATGTTTTTTTTTATTTAAGAAAAGGCCATGTGCACCTGTGAGGGTACATATGATATAATGAAGTTTTTTTTTTCAATTTATGGAGCAGGTTTCTCTGTGAGGAGACAGTGGAAGAAAGAATCCTCGAACTCCAACAGAAGAAGCTGATGTTAGCAGATAATGTCCTCAAGGGTGCGAGAAACAAAGCCAACAAGATTTCCATTGAGGATCTGAAAACTCTCTTCAATATGGCCTGAAAATCAGTGCTTCCCAGTTTTGATTGTGATTCAGATATGATACAAAGTAATTTGCATGGATTTTGGCATTTCCTTTTGTTATCTTTCATAAGCAATGACAAACAAATGAGAACACATGGATTTCAAGCTAAAAGCTATTCATTCATGAGAATCAGGCAGCAAAACCTGCCATGAGGGTAAGGTGCTTTCTAAGAAACGTGCATATAATATTGAGAAATAGCTGCAAGACAAGGAAAGATTAAAATAACAAATTCAAACTGTGGAAATAAACTATAAAAACTGTGCAGTGTGCTGTAAATCTGACCCACTATGGCACTGCAGAAGGTGGGAATATTGCACTGGTGTAACTAAAACACACATAGTTAAGCATACACATGATGACTACACCCACAACCACAGCCTTGTTGAGTCACTAGCTCCTACGCATCCAAAGGTCTATGTTAGAACAAAAGGTCTTATGAAGGACTACCCTACAGTTAGGCTAGAGGTACCAACCGTTATTACTAATGGCAGGGGACTCTGTTTGTACATCACTTATTATTTAGAGTATTTATTAGACTCTTGGAAAGACACTCAGCAAAGCATTCTGCCTAGCCCATCACAGGGTGGGGAAAAAACAAGCAAGGCCCCCCAAATAGTTTACTCATGGAGGGGAGAACTAGAATACACTGAGGAACAATACTCCAACTCTTGGGTGATCTTTGCATATTCTACAAATTCTTAGGCTCCCCATCCTGCAAATTGTTTCTTGATATGTTCCCTCTTAATCGAGAAGTGTTTAATTGAAAGGGTGCAGATTGAGGCTGTTCAGATGTTACTTTTTAGGTTCCCAGGACAGATGTTTTGATGCACAGTTGCCTGAGAACTACAAGATGTGACACCACATTGCTGGAAGACAAATTGTCAAAGATGACAAATTTAAGAAATTTCCCCACAGAACATGGTGATATATATACAATCATAATTAAGAATCTAGGATCTGTAAACAAAGATCACCCAATAGGAAATGAAACCCCCCAGAAATTTTTTGACATCATCAGAGGCAGTTATGTTAGCCAGTAGAAGTCATAAATAACTAGTTGCTCTTTTTTTTCCTCCAAAAGTAAGTTAGATCCTTTTCAAAAATGCATAACTTTTTCCACTTGTATGAATAAAATCATTTTTAACATTGAGCAGTACATGCTGATGAAATTTGAAAGTTATCAGCCTCCATGCTTCCTTATCCAGACATATCAAAACGATCTAGCTTTGGAGCTAGATCTCCATTTATAAAATTATACCTCCACCCAGACAACTCTACTCCTGGTTTACTAGTAGCTACTCCTGGCAAGCACCATATTCTACATTATCTTGCTGACCAGATCAATTCCTCCCATACTTGACCACTGTTTCAGATGATTTCACATCCTCACTCATTGCCTTGCACTATCCTTGAGGGACTTGGCTTTTGGAGTGGGATACAAATCTGGGTTTTAGAAAAAACTTCACTTCAGCCTCATCCAGAAACAACATATTTGCCGTTTTCCTTTCTCTCCNGTAAACAAAGATCACCCAATAGGAAATGAAACCCCCCAGAAATTTTTTGACATCATCAGAGGCAGTTATGTTAGCCAGTAGAAGTCATAAATAACTAGTTGCTCTTTTTTTTCCTCCAAAAGTAAGTTAGATCCTTTTCAAAAATGCATAACTTTTTCCACTTGTATGAATAAAATCATTTTTAACATTGAGCAGTACATGCTGATGAAATTTGAAAGTTATCAGCCTCCATGCTTCCTTATCCAGACATATCAAAACGATCTAGCTTTGGAGCTAGATCTCCATTTATAAAATTATACCTCCACCCAGACAACTCTACTCCTGGTTTACTAGTAGCTACTCCTGGCAAGCACCATATTCTACATTATCTTGCTGACCAGATCAATTCCTCCCATACTTGACCACTGTTTCAGATGATTTCACATCCTCACTCATTGCCTTGCACTATCCTTGAGGGACTTGGCTTTTGGAGTGGGATACAAATCTGGGTTTTAGAAAAAACTTCACTTCAGCCTCATCCAGAAACAACATATTTGCCGTTTTCCTTTCTCTCCCTCTCTTCAAAGAGTACTTACTGGAATAGCATGGATGAATAAGTCCTCCTTAGAGAAACATTCCTAGTGTAAGAGATGTCTATTATGATACTTCTGATGTGCAAAAACCACTTCTGCAAGAAGATTCTCTCCACTGCAGAAAATCTTCTTGCAGAAGTGGTTTTTGGATGGGATACAAATGGGATAAGGCTGATGTTTTTGAATGACAAATGCTTACCTTGAGAGTGACCTTCCTCCCAAACATGACATCCCCTGACACAGTCAAATGGTCAAGTTCCAGGAGGTCAGGAATTGTCTCAAATCTCCTCAGGAAGTCACGAACCTATCATGCAAGAGAATGCAAGTCAAAACAGCTTTATTAGCTTATCATTTTAAAATACCTTGCATGACCATCAGGTTCTATAATCTGACATGTGCAGGTGTCCCAGTATAGCTTCATAAAAATGCAGTCAACTCTGCTGAACTTGGTGGAATTCATAGGAGTTCTATGATTGAGTTCAGGATGTATTGGCAAGTATGCTTGTAGGTCTTGGTGTTTTTGGTTCCTCACAAAATTATACCTCTAAAGCAATAAACCTTTCAGATTCAAGGCACAATCCAGAGGGATCTGGTTGAATAAGAGAAGTCATGGGTAGGTGATTTTCACATTTTCTTGGGTTTTCTCATGGCTGTCATTTTGGAGCTTCTCTTTAGCTCCTTCAGTACAGAATTATTTTCTGGCAACTTAATTGGTTAATTTTGCATAGAAACATTCATACCACCCAATCTGCAAATCAACTTACAATTTTAAGTTATTTTCATTACTATTGGCAATAATTAGAAAACAAATTGATTTCAATGGTTAAAATTGGGTTGACTGGGTGGACTCCCTGCTTCAAAACAAGTGCCTCATGTATGAATTTATGCACAAAACAGACATTGAATTATTACTTTAGACTCTTTCCAGTTCTGGTGCCCAATTGGACATGAGGTAAGGCAAAAGGGTTAAGTACAGGGTGACAAATAATGGGTGCTCCCAAAACAAAAATTTACTTCTTGAAATCTACAAAAGCTAGAAACAAAACTCAAATGGCATATCAGTCTATGACTGCAGGAGATTATGTAATGATGTGCAGAATGTGGGTGCCCCCACTTGCAATCATGTGATATAGCCAAACAATGAAATTCTGGAAGACAGCTTCAAGAGTCATTGGAAATCTTTTCAATTTTACTCTGAATTCCTTGAGTTCCTTGATGGTTTTCTGGTAGTTTATGTACACTTTTTCTTAATGCACCCCTGCAAGAAGTTGTTGCAAGCATTGAGGTCTGGGGAGTAAGAGGGCCAGTCAATTCCCTTTTCAGGAAAAACCCATCATCATTATCATATTAGACAAAATGTAATGCACATAAAATAAAAAATTCCTGCAATTGCTGAGCATCCATGAAAAATGTTAAGCTCATACACTCACATTCAATAAAGATATTGTTGATTCTTATGCCATTTCTTTGTCACCCTATATTTTATTCACAGGAAAACTGTCAGACAGACAGCCTGAAGGAGGGTATTTTTCAAAATGGCATCACCCAACTGAATGAGTATAGTATTCATGGTGAGGTCTATTTTCACTCACTCACCTTGTCAAAATGAGTGCCCAACTTGATGAGAGGAGTGGAAGGAAACATTCGCATGGGACTCATGCCTAGTGAACCACTCTTGAGATTGTACAGATTGCTCATGACTAGCAGTAGATCAGAAGACTTCTTCACTGGAAGGAAGCGACTCCTCGGAACAATGATACCTATCCGCAAGAAAATCTACAATCAGCCCATAAAAACTTCAAGTCTTAAACTTTCCAGTGCAGATAATTTCAATGCTGTTGAATGGAGTCATGCCCATTCCTGGATGCAAAATAGTTAAGTCAACCAACCAAGTCCTCCATCAAAATTTTTCATGGCAGCTCCAACTGCTGTCTCCAGTTGAATGACATTGAGCCCATTGTCAAGAGTCTTGTAATTCACAATCACTTCCATATCCAAATTCCCCTCTTCCACCATTCTTTTGATTCCTAAATTCAATAAATGGCAGGGTTTTGCTCATCTGGCAATCTCAAAAGACATTGGTCGGAATCATAAGGAATTCTATACTTACCTCCAAGCTTGATCCATAGATTATTTGTGTTGAAGATCTTGAAAGTCTTGACAGACTTAAAATCATCAACATGGACCTTTGGTACCTGTGCAATTTCTAGGAGCCTCAGCTTGTTGTCATACTGAATCAATGTCCCTCCCTAATGAGTGCAATTCCGACTTTATAGGATATATGCTTCTCAGTGCTGAAATAGATGGATCAAAGAAAATGCCAGACCTTGACATCAGCTCTGGTCTTGTCAGTGACCTCCATGACAAATTCAGGTCGATCACCAACGCCATGAGCAAGAAGCAAGTTGAGAATGGCGAGATCAACAGTTGCACCTAGGTTATCAATGTTGGAGATGAAGCAATACTCCCTGCCATCAGCTATGAGCTCGTCCAGGAGCCCTGAGTTGTAGAAGGCCTGGTAAAAATCTCCATGGCCAGGTGGGTACCACCTTTCAAAGTATCAACCATATTCATTGCTAAGAAGCTTTCTTACAAGCTTACAAATGCAGTCATTCAGCCATTTGCATGTCAGCAACAGTCTAATTTCCTTTAATGTTTACAAGAACATAAATGTTTTGAAATTCACCAAATAGCATATGAAAGCTACAAAGCATGAAAGACATTGTTGGGTGAATGGCTTCCATCATCATCCATTCTTGTTGACTCAAGAGAAATTTTCAGAAGAGGATAAAAGCCTATTTTGCTGTAGGTTAGGCAACAACTAACTACTACTTACTTAAACTGGGCTTCCTGAAGTTCTTTGAAGTTAGAATCAAGAAAAGTTTTTTAAAAACTAAGGCCCAAAAGCTAAAACCTCATTTAGGCAAGTTAAAGGGGCCTAAAATCTATAGAGCTCTTTTTCCCTCAGGAGTTCATGGATTCACAAAGGATAATTTACTTTGGGAGGTTTCAGCACTTAGGTCTAAGATGGTGAGCTTATCTGTGTGAGCGTAAGTGGGCCTAGAAAGATAATGCTTGCACCATGCAATACTGATATATAATTATCTTTGAGATTTCATCCAAATTTGTCTCATTGAAGCAAGGTTAGGGGCAAGTATTCAAAAGAAGTTGGATATTGAAATGAATGAGAGCTCATGCAGGTATTGGAGTGGGGGAAATGCCTTAGTGCTATGGTAATGTTGGCCAAATTAACCATTCCGTTATTAGGACTGGCTGTTTCTCACAAACAATTTTGATAAGCTTTCTCCCAATTATTGACTGTTCATCCCAGTTAATCAGTCACAATACAGAGAATTTGCTCAAAGGTCATTTAAATTTTCCCTTGTTTACATTAGAGAACAAAGTAATCCAGTTACTCTGAAGCAACTCCTATTCCATGTTCATTTTCAATTTATAATGCCTTATCAGCAATTACTCAGCCTTGCTTTGGTAATACCAATTTGTATGAAATTTTTAGTATATGATTGAAACTGGATTGGAATCACAATTCATAATGCAACTGAGAAATTAAAACCTTCCATGGCATTTTTCACACCTGCTGCAATGGGGGGAGGGACTATCATATTTTGGGACAATGTACATCCATCTTTAGTGGGGTAGAACAGTCTTAACAGATCAACTCAGGAAGTTAATATTGGTAGACATGCCTTCTGAAATGCCAACCCAAAAATTGACTGTAACTGAAGGGGCTCACGCTTCAAGGTCTTCATCAGTGGAGCAGCTTCGGGGAATCGGTGTAAGAGACTCCTTGTTGATGCGAGGATATCGACTCTGCATGAAGGTGTGGATCCTGACACCAAAGCCAGTGTACTTACGAAGGACTTTGCTGGTGTCATCATCTGTGTTGAAGGAGTTCATGAGAACCAAGGGGACATTGGCCTGGTAGGTCTTGTTCAAGTACTCAATCTGCTGGACAGTGAGATCCAGGAAGGTGAATTCATTCCGCACAGGGATAGTGGATTTTGGCCCCTTGCATCCCATGGAAGTCCCCAATCCACCATTGAGTTTGATTACAACCAGTTTGTTCAGCATGGCTCGCACTGCATCGTTATTTGCTGGTTGTGCCAGGGACTGATAATCCCGAATCTACGCATCAAGAGAATTCAGCTGTTATTAATGGGCAACCGTAACTGACAGAATCAGAGATAATGAATGATGGAACTCACAGCTTTTTCTGGCAGTTTTTGGATATTGTCCCAAACAACAGAATCTCCGACATGGCGGATAAAACGAGAGAAGATCTTGCGAAACCCATCAAATTCCTTCTCCACAATCTGGAATGAGATTTTTTAAATCACCATGGGACTGATTTATCAAGCTGATGCTTTCACTGATGCTATTCCAAGTTAACCTTGGATGGATTTCCATGAATACATAGGTTTTTTACTTTCAACCCAACCAGAACTGACTTAATGTTTTTTAGCTTCTTCTGAACAAGAGTTGGTTAATCTAAGCTTGTCAGATCCTAAAACAGGGAGATTGCAAAAAATACATTCAATAATTAAAGCTTAAAAACAAGTTGGAGAGATCAAGAGACCCCGTTGTCTATTGGGTTTTCCTCCTCAATTACAAATGAACAGACTTGCCAAGTTTCAAAATTGCAATCGAAGGGAGTCTGAAAATGGTGCAACAGGTAACTCAAAACTCCTGGTTTGTTTTACGGTCAGTAAGCGTGTCATTTGGGCTTCAAGCAGTGGCGTATTTTATGGGGAGGGGGGGCTGTCCCACTCTTCAGCCAAAATATGCCACTGGCTTCAGGGCCAATGATACAATTTGATGTTACAGGTAAAATTCATTCATTCCTTCTGAGGTATTGAATTCCTATTCTAATTTCATTTCAAAAACGTGGAAGGTTCATCCCACTGTTCTATCAAGCCTACTATCTGCAAACTATGCTGTTTTGGAAGATTTACTTGAGATGAAGGAAAAAAAGACTATTCCTTCGATTAAGACAGTCGTTCTTTCAAATGACGCTCACCCGAGTCAATGCATATTGATGCAAGTGATGGGGACTTTTCAATCACCTAAAAATAAAACTCGATCTCCCATATAGAAATCTAGATCAAAATGTTCCTCCATTTTGACCAGGTGAATAATTTACATTCTTGAGAGCTGCCCTTCGAATCTGCTGAGCAGCGTGGGTGACTTGCAGCTCCGCAGATTCTTGTATATACAGGATATGTAAAAAATATTTATTAAAAAAAAAAGACCCCAACCTTTGTAAATGTGGACTGATTGAAACCACTCTTACGAAACTAGTACTGTGCATGGACTGATATGTCCCAAGTACTGCTTTGAAATGTCATGAAAGTTCGTTCCGCTTGCAAGGCTACAAGCGATTACTTAAAAAAGAATCTGAAGAAATCTGGAAAAAAAATTGGAAGCGGACGAGGGACTTCAGCCCCTGCAGCATAACAAAATTCCGCCAACACCCAGCAAGAGCCCCTTCAATTATAATTAATATCCAACTTATTTAAAATAATAATGGCTTAAAGCCTGCTTTGAATTAATGCATTTTACTAAATTTTACAAATCTCATGCAAACAACTTACGCAGAGCGCAAGTTTCGTTGAAATATAGAAGAGATTTCTTATTTAAAGATCCTTTTTTTTTGTCCTTCCCAGTATAAATAATCTTTTTCACTCCATAAATTCTAAAACAAAAAGTCAAACGGAGTGCAGGGTAAGTTACGACTCTCCGTTAATCTCCGTTAGTTCAGGGCTTCACACCTTACGTATCTTCAGGCCCATAAGCGTAGCGTGTATGGAAAAAAGTGGGAGAAAACAGGAACTCTGAAACACTGTTCACATGCATTTCCTGCGTCTTTTCATTTACTTCTCCTTTTTCTGAAAAGGAAGCATACAATCCCCCACCCCCACCCATTCGCATACCCGACCGACAAGCCTCCACTTCAAGGATACAAGACATTACTGACCTGCTTCTCCGCGGGGTCGGAGGTGTGCAGGAGTTTCTCCAGCTCGTGGGCGAGGAGCTTCTCGGCGTCCAGCTGGGTCATGGCTTTAAACTTGGTCGCATCCCCTGAGGGCGCCCGCTGATGGCTCTGCGAGGAAAAGGAGAAGCCCAACAATTCCCACATTCCGCGATCCCACCAGGAAACGAGTGACCCGATCGTACGGAAAATCCGCCCTCGGCCCCACGGGAAAGGGCAAAGAGAGCAGCTCCGTCATCCCAGCAGCTTCGACCCTGACTCGGCAGGTCGCGAAGCAAAGGACGAACCATGACCGAGAACTCACCAAATCCATCTCGTGGTTATTCATAGTCGACCCGAAGCCCGAGCGGGAGGAACACGAAATCGAGGAAAGGACACGCGGGAGGCCACTGACGATAAATAAACACGTTTCGAGGAGTCCCAAGATGCTCGCCTTGAGATACGAGGATTCAAGGTCTCCCGCTCTGACATTCCTGGCGCCTCTCAATGGCAGCTCAGTAAAAAAAAAAAAAAAAACTCGACCGCAGCTCCATTTCCTCGAAGTAGGTGTGTCTTCTCCTCGTGTCGTGAATGGTCAGTATTATCATACATAATTACGTCTTTTAACCATAACCCCCCAAATCTTCTCAGGGTTGCACAGACGACGAAAATCCCCGTTCAGAGGACTGTTATGCGAAACGGATCGCGGGTTCAAACGCTGTACATCCGATCTGATTAAACGTACAGCAGACACCGAGAAAGTCATTATGAGTGACATACATCGCATCCGTGTAAGACGGTAACTCATCAGATCAATTCACATCTCTCATACATCGGAAAAAAAAACCCTTCTTACCGCAGTTTTACCCTAAACGCCACCTCGAAAGACATTTGAACACACCGAAGCGAAAGCCTCAAAGCCCCTCTCGCTTCTCACGTCCTACCACCCGGCGACGGCGGATTTATTTACGGAAGAAGAGTGTTGGACGACGGCATCCTGACGCTTCATTCATTTCTTGCGAACGGATCGGGGCTGATGGGTTTCCGCGAGGTCTTCCGGAGGGCACCGGCTCCGACTTCGCCAGTTTCCTTGTGGATTCTGGCATTTTAACCGTAGAACATGAACGTGGGATAAAAGCTACGTCATCACTAAGGTGAGGTCTGGAAGACTCCTGCTTATAAAAAGCGCTATAATACTCTAAATTAATTCAGGTCTATAACTTTTATTGCCCCATCGAGTAATAAGCATTCAAACCATGACCTTCAAGCACATTCTGCGCAAACATTTCCTCTGTTACTGACAAACAGCGCGGTTGCAGCTATCGCCCGTTCGCAAGCAAATGCTACGGCGCTTGGAGTCTGGTGGACCCCGCGTTAGAGTTCTAGGGTTAAACAGCGGTTAAAACAAAACTCTGTCCGAGCCCTCAGCGCCAACCCCGCCTTGCATCGACAGGCCTTCACCGGCTGGGCTAGGCATGTCGAGAGGGATTTTCACTAAACTGTTGGGAGTTCCCGAGATCATCATATCAAAGCCCTCACGCCGCGGACCCGGAAACCTGGATTGGAAACGAAAAGAATCTCAACTTCACATACCACTGGGTGCACGGGCCAGATCTACGACGAAGATCGGCTCCAAGCAGGTAAAAAGTACTGCGAAAGCTCCGAATGAACGGCGGGACCTAATATAGTTGAGTTCTTTTAGGTCACGGTTATTCCTGTCTCCCGTATCTTATCAATCCACTACGAGATCCTTCATCGAGAGGTCTCTTCAAGTCGAAAGGCGTTTCCGAGAGCCCACAACTATCAAAACGAAGTGAATTCGATCCTCGATGCGAATCGTCGCCGCTACTCTTTATCTCCGAGGTTTTCCCGTGTAACTTTCAAATGCACTTGACTTTTGCCAACGGACAGTAACTCGATTCTTGATGGTGCATGCCAAACATGAACGTATTCGAATGTGCTTAAATTCGTCTTTAATCCGATTCCTCATTCGGTGCACGTCACCTTCTATCCCCGTTAGCTCGGCCAGATTTTGTTGTTTATTTTTGGTCAGAGTCTTGGCCGCAAAACCCTCAGGGGGAAAGGAGCACCGGGGTGGAGTCAGAGATCGAGGAAACGTAATTTCGAGACTGGGAAAATTGTAGTTACATTACAAAAAAAAAAAGGTCTGAGATTCTCGAAGAAGCAGTTGGGCAGGCTATTTATTTTCCATTTTCCTCGGGCGCGCCACGCTTTTGGAGGAGGCAGTCAGTCGATGCGACTAAACATCTTCCCAACAAAACAGAACAGATTCTCAAAAGGGGCAGAGGAATGGTATGGAAGGGCACCGTATAATAATTATTCAAAATTTTTTTTTATGTCTTCGCGCACAGCTCCTCCATTAACAAGTCAACAATGATGGTCTACTGAGTATATAAAGGATAGTCAATTTGTTTTTGTTGCTGGGTATTGGGGTTCTGCCGACAAGGCCACCGCTCGCGAGCTAACAGGTTTGCTAACTTCGTTGTCTCAGTTGGCGCAAGGCATGCAAACGCGCAAGCATTTAGAGTGTTTTGAACAGAAAAATTAAATATAATGATACGGGAAAATGTAAGCTCGACGCATAATAAAATGCAAACGTTTGCAATACTAATAAGAGGGGAAAGCTTCTAAATGACACGATTCATTACATGTCTTATCTACATTATTCATTCATCTCTGGGTGGAACAAGCCAAGTGCACGCAGTGACGAACCACAGTCAGTCTTTCTTGCTACGACTAGATCGAGGCTTATTCCAGCCACTTCCGCCGAGTGGCATCAATTGAACCTCAACGATCCATTACGACATCGGCCAACTCACAGTTCCTCATCAACCACACCCTCCACGGGCGAATGCTCGTGAAACTCAGATACGACCTCCAAGCATTCCAACGGCTAGGCAGAAACTCGACTGGATCGAATCGGAGGACTGTGACGTGGCCGCGTGAGGTTCACGACGGAAGGGGAGGCGCTGTCGAACGCATGTTGCCGAGGTCGTAGAAACGGCAAGCGGCAATTACATTTACTGAAGAGTGTCGGAGTGAGAGTCGGAAGGCAAGACCGGAAGAACTTTTCACTCTACTAACCTCTCACCTATTTTTTTTTCCTTAAACCGTTGATATCGTGCGAATCTCGTCACTCACTCTCCCCGATCCCATCACCCCACAAAGAGTGATTCCAGAGCCATGATGAATCCTCAGATCGGGCGGCGATCGTCGCTCGACCAACCGTTTCACGACTATCCGAGACGATGTCAGAGGGAAATCCAAGCCGTGCGAACATTCTTCCTCGCTAGATCGCTAACGTGATAGCATCGCGAAATCATTCTACTCCACTAGGATCTTTGTAAAGAAATGTCACCATAACAAAAGCAATCAAAACTGTAAGCAGACAATAACAATCGACTTGCAGCACTACCGTCAAACAAAACTAACTTGAGTTTACATGCATTCCTGGTCAACAAATTTTTCCGATAGAATTCATCGATGAATTCGTGTATAAGAATTTTTCGAGTTCATAACACCGACGTAACAGATACACGATCGGTTTCTCGGCAGACGAAGTTTCAAAACCTGCGCCAGTACTCAAGTACTGGCCAGTGACGAAGCAATCCCCAAAATACCAAGGCAATCCAGGGCGACAGGACTGGGCAGCGGGCTCCACTCACCCCTTTGATCGCAGCATCTTCTGTCAGAGACCCCATCGCGAAGAGAGTCTTGCTGGAAGCGGCCGCACCGAGATCACGTGTTGGGCATGCGACAAGCAATGACTAAAATCTGGTGGAAACGATTCAGCAAGGGACCATGAATGGCATTCATTCTCATCATCTGGTGAACACATTCCAGAGCATCTCAATTACCCTAAACCAACATTATCCAAGCACATGAACCTATTTTGAGGCGACATCAGCTTAAGACGAGTAATATGCTAAGTGCTCCCCGATGAGAAAAGCCTAGTAAGAACCCACTAAGGGGATACCTTTCTTAAGAATACGATCGGTAGAGGGCAGATTTATATAACCAAAAAAAATTCAAATATGAACTTATATTTTGAATAATAGCAAACCAGGGAGTGTGGTCAGCAGTGGAATAATCATTGAAAAGAATTCGCAAAATTTTCTGAGGAAAAACAAGACCATATTCCTTCAAATTACAAAAAAAAACAAAGCCTTATGCTTGAAATATAATTTAACAACATGGGCTCATTTTACTCCCAATGGTGCCAGGATTCAATTCCATTTTCATGAGCATAGAAAAAAAAAAGACTTTGCCATGCAATATGCACTCCACTGAGTAGTCATTGCAGTGGAAAATGAAAATCTCTCAAGGAAATGTGTATGTGCTTGACACACTGAGCAAACCCAGCCACCAGGTGGCCCATAAGGGAGCTTGCATAACACGTGGAATCCTCTGGAAAGGAACAGGAGAAGTCACAACTCATCCTACATCGTGAATTGCATTGACCTAACAACGCAATCGGATCTGAAGCGGTCGAGAAAATATTTTATCACTGCTTAGTCATGAATCATTTCGTCACCACTAGAAAAATTAATGGCCCATGGAAGATGACATGAATCAAAGCACAAAGCTAACAGATGGAAAAACAGCATCTTTTCCCTTGTTTCAAATAAGATAGAATAAAAGATGTAATATTGCTTGCAGATGAGGGAGACAGGATGGTGTAGAATAAATGCTTTTACCATGTTATCTTTTTTGTAATACTAACATAAGAAAACCTATGTTTATTAAGCATACTGAATAATTTGTTACGTTTTCTACGGTATCACAACTTTTCAAGTACATTCCAAGAAAATGGTAAGAAATATGTGAACTGCAGAAGCAAATCAATCACCTCTAAAACTGTCAACTCTTCACTATAAGTGCTGTTAATGTTCTAGATACGACAGCTTTGCATATGCGCAAAATCATGAATTTCAAACCCTGTCATGTCTAGCACAAAGAAGCAGGGATAAATGATTTGAATCAACTTTTCCATATTTGTGTTATTAGTTGCTTCCCCCCCCCCCCAAACAATGCAAAATGAGTTGGCACTGAAGATCTCAATTCCTTATTTATTTATTTTTAGATTCAGATGAGGGCTGTTGAATAAGTCCCTGAGAGCCCAGATGAGTCCCACTATGCGAGGCAATTAGCAATTGGATGATACTAATATAAAAAAAAAGGGGGCCACACCAGGATAGAGAGAAAAGGCAAAATGATACAAGTTTTGCTTCTTCCTGCATGACATGTGGAAACTGGCCAGAAACAAGACTGAAAGTCATCGCAAGCAAGGGCGAAAGTCATTGAGTCATTGGAGCAGCAGGACAGACAAGCACATAGATCAGGTAAGTGAAGAAGAAAAATATGCTAAAGTATAGGACTAATATGAAATCAATTGTATGCTATGTGTGGATAATTCTGTCAGCTCACCACTGGATATCATATTTACGAAATTTGACATGTAGGTTTTTTATGGGTCAAACAAGCCGTTTTTCAATTTTTAGCCCCATCAGAACAATGGCATGAAAGTCACAAGAAAGTGAACTTGGCATGACCTCTAAACTTAGAGGTCCTATAAATAAATAACTATTCAACACAGGGACCTGTATTTGGTACTGTTTTTCTATAAAAAAATGCATGTTTCAAAAATGCAATAAAAAAGGGACTTTGTGCATGCCTGCATATATCGACCTTTAATTGTGACCTTAGACCTTGAATTTGGACTCTAGCAATCATGTTCCCAAAATATAAAATGAAAGGTGGACTAGATCCCTACAAAAGGAGAAATTCCTGGGACATAATATTTTTCTTTTTCCAATAAAATAAATTGAAAGAATTTTGTGCTTGGAGAATCTCACTGATGAGTCAAAAGATTTTTGGTGAAATTTTTGCTGCCTTCATTAGAAATGTAAAATTTTGCAAAATTGTTGCTCTATGTCTCACCAATTTACTACCAAGATCCAGAGCACTGGACTGAAAAAAAGAAAAGAAAATGAACAAGCAGGTGCATCAAGACCTTATCAATGAGATCTTGCTAAAACTGAGTGAGAATAATTTAGTTTCAGATGGCTCTGCTGGTCAAAATAATAACTGGTATAACTGCATGAACCTTTGCTACCATCAGGAAGACTTCAACATGGAATGTGAGCAGAACGTCTTTGCTGCATCCCATGGCAAGGGCCCCTTTTGTGGGATTGGTGATAGAGTGATATGGTAGGCTGCCAAAGCAAGTCTTCAACATGGTCAGAAGAATGATTTTTAACTCTAACTGGTATTAACCACAAGGGATTGCATCATCACCCCATGATGATGCAAAGAGAATTCTCTTTAAATCAACATTGAGCTAGGACTGGAGAGGGGATTTCAGGTTTATTCCGGTGTTACACCAATATCGCATCTGAACTCATCCACCATCATGCTAATAACTATTAAAGTCTAACCTATCTGCATTTTGGCTCACTGAAACACTGTGCAAAGCTTATTCCCTACTCTTACAAGTCATCCATGCATATGCTTGGATGACTTGTAAGAAAGAAGACAAGAAGACAAGAAATTGATACATCTGACCATAAAGAACTTCAGTATGAGAAAAAGACTTCTGCTTAGAGATAAAATGGAACCATCCTTCCACTCTGGGTAAGTTCTTAACTCTTCCTCAAGGATATAACATCATTTTTAATGAATGGAGGCAAACGTTGACAGGCAGGAGAGCCACAAACACTTCAAGTTCAAGAATGAAATAATGGTGTGTATCCCAAAATTCTGGTTCCATCAAACAGAAACAACCTCTCACAGAGATACAAAAATTAACTTGGTCAGATGTTGTGGCCTATCCAGACCAGTCCAAATTGTATATATTTTTGAAACTGCAATGGGCACAATAGACACGGCTTTGAGTCACTGCAATCATTTTCAAATGATTCACAACAGACTAGGCCTAAATTAAATAAGGCCTTATCAGAGTGGCTCATTTAGGTATTATAAGAGCATCATGATGTTTCTGTACTAGAGACAACATTGAAATAAGTAAAAGTATGGTGATGGGAAATGAATGGGCAAATTCTTCCATTTCTTTGAATTTGTGTGGTTGGCAACCAATTCGGTAGTGGATTCCAACATGAGGAGAGGCATGGAGAGTTTAACACATTTTTAGCATTCCTGCAAGAACTTCTTCAAGTAAGGTTTATTCCCTAACATCAAGATGAAAGTGAATTGCCATCATCATCCTCCTACAGTATGATCCCATTCTACAGCTGAATCTTTCAAAATTTCCCTTGCCGAAACTGAACTGAATTGAACCAATCCCACAGCCTACCTTTACTGAAATGCATGCAATGTACTTCAGTCCCTTTCCTGCAGACGTTGCTCAATTTTGCAAGTTCAAAGAATGACTTAACCTCGAGAGAAGAGGCTTCTTGCTCTTGTCCACGGCATACGTGACAAGCCAAGCCCACTTTAACTAAGGCCATCGCGAGGGATGTTTTGAAAACACCTGGGTATCGGGAAAATGATTTTCCGCCTCTGAACGGCGTGGGCGAAGGGAGCCGCTTTTCATAACCTCTCCCTGCGATCGATCCGTGGGGAGCGATTTTTGAGCGAGAGGAAGGGGAGGGTCGGCGGGGCAGCCCGAGACAATAAACCTAGGCTAGAGGATTAGGCTATGCCGATACCTAGAGGTACGACACCCATCTGAACCCAGCAACGCCTCTTCTCGACGAGGACAGGCGATAGACCGAGCCCGGACGGATGCTCCAAACGCAGGGGATTGGACGGTCGCGGCTCGGTGGAGGCACACGGGGGGCACACGGAGGGGCACACGGGGGCACAGGGGGAGCACGTGGGAGACCATGATCGGACGGAGGACCTGCCATCTGGAGGACTTTCAAGGACAACAGAAGTAGTGCAGCTTTTTTTTTTTCCAAGATAGCAATCCGGCCCGATTTTTTGTACGATCGATTTTCGGTGCACCTACCCTCCTTGGTAACACAAACTGCCTTTGTTACTCAACATTTTAGGGAAAGGGGACTGAAAGTACCACTTTTTTTTTTCTCCTAAGGAAAGTACTCGTTACCGCTTGTCTCCTAGTCGTTCCTATCTTGCAAGTTCGGGACGTGTTAGTTCCCGGTAATTCTTGATGTGGCCTTATCCGGGGCCAGTCCAGGTCTAGATCGAAAGCTAGAGATCTTCGTCGGTGAGCAAGCAAGACATTTTATTTTTTTTTATTTTTTAAATCCCATAAAAAGCTACATGTTCTAAAAACGAAATCGCTTCCAGTTCGTTCCTTTTCCCCATCTTTCGATAAGAAAATTTTGGCATTTAAACGGATTCGCTCGTTGCCGTCGTGGAAGCGGTCTTCTGCAATGTCGCCTACGGCCGCATTCGTTTCTCGTAACTTCAGAATAATCTCGAACATTTTCGAATCGAAATTCTCGAAAATTTCAGAAGTCATCTCGCTCCGGGTTGGGACGATCACATTTACAATAAGTCCGTACGAGAGCTTGAACCAGTTCGCAACTGCTCGAAATCGATCCAAATCCACGGCAGCGATTCGTTCCTGCAGCGACCGCTGCTACCTTGAACAAAAAAAGGAACGAAATACCATTGCTCCTTCTGTCTTACAAAATGGACTCCAGTACCGTTCCGAGTTCGAATCGCCCCCGCCCGACAGTGCACCAACAGCGCAGGAGGCTCAACTCACACTGAAGACGTCAGACGCTGTCACGCCGGATTCACGAGGCAAACCTCCCCCCCCCTACCCGATGGGTGGAGGGAGGGAGGATCGATGTGCCCGGCTTGCTCCGCCCTTGGCACGGTTCCCTGTTTGGGTTGGTGCCGACTTCTATATGAAGTGGAGGATTTTTTCTTCTGGCCGCAAGTCAGACATGATTCTTTGATAAAACTACTGTAACTCGCAGCAACCACAGCGCAGACGGATGCTGGATGACAGACCGTTCTATGTACGAAATTCTTGCCATATAGATAGCAGCTCTGATAGAGACAATTTTCATCTTGTCCCACCCCCCCCACCCCACCCTTAAAACCTTGCAAAAATTAATGTGTACAAAAGGAACAGGACGGTTCATCAGGTTGACATGTTCGTAGGGAAGTTCTCCAGCATCCAAAAGTTAAAAAAATAAATACTCAGGAGGAAGGAAAATTAAGTGAAATAATATCGGGGTACCTTCCCACCTCCTGCTCGTGCATAAATGAATGCCAAGAGTCAAATTTCAGGGACAGGATGAAATGCGGTTTTATTATCCAAAAAAGCAGTAGATCTAAATAGTACCTGACTCCTGCCAACATGCTTCTTCCTTCCAAACTGTTATTCATTTCATAACTTCTCGATATCATAGACCAATACAACTGGCACGTTGTACTGATGGTCTCTGTTTTCACAGTAGCAAAGAATGCTTACTTATAACTTGATGTAAGACCACAGGAGTAATAATTCATACATCATCTGGGCCAGGCATCTTTACTGATATTTGTGACAAGACATTTAATGTTGTCATCCCAACACCACTTTAATCGGAAGCAGCGACTAAATCATCGTGATAAAGTTAGCAGTTATGGCAACTGTGGATCTCGACCACATTTAACAGATAAGTTTTAACAGATATAGATTAAAAACATAAAATTCCATGCATACTGAACATGGCAAAATAGAAAATTCCCACATCAAGCAGGAGTGCAAATGCAACACGGATGAACAGAAATCTAGCAAAGAGCTGTGGACGTGATGAGAGCCACTCCACGTTCGTAGAATCGATGGGCCACCTCCCCTTTTGCAACCTGGAGATCAACAGTAAAGAGGAGCTCTGATCGCATGGCTGACAGATACACTGGAAGATTGATCTGTCTCTCATTTTTATCTCCACTTCCTGATCCACTCATCCTGCAAACACAACAATCAACATCTCTCATCAAGATGTCACTCCCATCATTTTTGCATTCCTTAAAAATTCATATTCACCTTATCCATTTCAATCGGGTCGACGAGAGCTCCGTCATGATGGCCGAGGTGAGATAAAGTTGATTCTTCTCACACTTAGCTCCCTGTAGCTTCAAGCCTGTTAGAAAAACAAAGTACCAGAATGGATTGGATCCCCAACAAGGTTATCCTGGCAGACAATACAAGTTCAGCATGTAAGGAGTTGTACCAGTGACAATGAAAGAGCCATCCTCATGAGTAGAGGCTTTGTCAGAATCCATGACAGTCACATCAAGCTGCAGTTCTTCCAAGGACCATGAATTAGTCTGAGCCACATACTGCCTAGTGGCTGTGATGTATGCCTCGGGATTGAAGAGGCCTCCCAACCAAATTGGAAGCTGTTGAAAGATGTCAAATTCATATGAGTTTGGCCTGCTGGTCACAAAATGCAATAAAAAATGACTGAAGTGATGCATACGGCCTTGAGTTCCTTGGCTCCTCCATGAGCAGTAGCCTGGCTGATCTTCGAGAGCTGTTCCACTCGGGTGGCAAGGTCTACCACCCACTGTGCCACTGTCACTCCTGCAGGAATTGTATATCTTCTCCAGTCATTTGGTACCAGTCCTTTCAACAAATCGCTCACCAAGGCACGATGTCTGTTGGTCTGCTTCTTTTCTCCCTGAGAGAGTTAGGGTCCATAACCTCAGCATATTAACATCTCTTGGCAATGTTTAGTTGATTAAAGGTAGCAGCAAACCTTGCAAATGAGGGAAACATCGAGGAGATCTTGCCGTACATCCTTCAACAGCTTTGACCCAGTGTTGACCTCTCTTTCAAAGAATCGGTACAAGGGGTCTCGGATGTTCTCCACCGTGCGACGTAGTGTCTGCAGTGACACAAGGTCAGTCAGTGATTCAATATTTCTACCTTCACTTTGCAGCAAAGAGAAAGACATCCTGTTTGGAAAACAGACCTGGACAACCCTAGGCAAAAGCTGAAGCCAACCAAGGGAGGAGGCTTCCAGTGTCTTCATCCATGTTGGTCGGCCCTCATCCTCCTTGGGAGCAACTAATCCAGTCCCTTCCAGGGCTTCATCATCATCTTCAAAAAGCTGCATCTTCAGGAGATGACTAATCAATTGAGACCCTGAGAATGGCAGAAAATAACTCTGGTGTTACACTCTTCCTCTTTTAGACTACCATATAATGTCTAATTGAGACAACAATGAATGCAAAAACCTTGATTGGTGAGAAGTACTCGTTCAGCGTTTGGTGGGAGTCCAAGCCATGTGGGTGTCTGGGATCGTTCACTCAAGCTCTCCACCCAGCTCAGCAGTTGGTCTCTTTGGATCCCCTCAGGCATGAAAACCTTCTCCTCTGTCTTGTCTCCTTCCACAAGGGGGAAATCAGCTTCAAAACTTTTTGATGTGAATAGCTTCATCAGGAAGGATGTGAGAAGTCGATGGTCAAAGTCATTGTCCACCTTCCCTCCATAGATGCATTGTGACAAGAGTGTGGTAATGGCATCCCATGGGACCTTCTCAGGTGGGAGGTTTGATCTGCCCTATAAGGCCAATATGCAATATTTTTCAGTATAAATTTGTGTTCCCTTCTATGAAATCAAAGCAAAGCAAAAGATAAATAACAAGCAATACAAACCATGGCAGTTGCATCAATCCATGTATCCAGAGTGTCACAGGCTACACGGAGATCAGCCTCATTGAATTCATAATTCTTGGCCCATCCAAGGGGAGCATAACGAAGTCGTTCTTGAACAGTGGCATGGAACCATGCCAGCAGGAAGTATAGGCGAGCTCTCTCATTTGGTGCAGACATCATCCTTGATGCTGGGACCTATCATATGTAAACTCATACATTTAGTAACTGACTGCTTCAAGAGATTCAATTCAAGCTTTTGAATCCAACTCACGGTAGCAAAGGTCCGAAGCAGATTGGCCTTGATCCCTGGAGGGGGTTCAAAGAGAAGCAGTCGCCCTCCACGAATGAGATTCACAGGAATGCGAGGACTTGGTTCAAATGTGAGGAACAGCCTGAAGGATGCATGAGGTGTAAGGCTGTGTAGCTTCTTTTCCAGCTGAACCAACCAGCCAGGGACAAGGTGAACATTCTTTAACAGGACCCATCTGTAACATTAGCATAAGTTGGTGAAGATACCATATTCTTTCAATCAATGAAGGCATTAAAAATGGGCTGCAGATCAATTACAACAAAATCCAATTAACCATAGACCAATATAATTTTAATCAAGCCAAAAAGTTTCCTCCTTGAAAGCATCATTCTCTTTGCTTTATTCTCAGCTGTTTGTTTGGTTCTTGTGTTGTTCCCTTCCCCAAAAAAAGGAAATAAACCTATTTTTTGCTGCTGACAAGAAGGTTGTGCAGAAAGAATGAAAAAATTCAGCAATAATTCTGAGGGAGATTTGGGGATTGATTGAAATTCCAATCATCTGGCAGTCCTCAACACTATAAACACTTACCTGCCACTCTTGGCACCAGCATTGATGGCTTTCTCAGCCTGAGTGAACCCTTCTGCAGATCCAATGGCAATAGCTGTCATGGGCTTCCCTTCCTGTGCTGCAAGGTCTTCAACTCTTCCAGATGCATCAAAGCCCCTAACTGAGCACATCAGGACTGGGGTTCGAGATCTCACCTGTCAAAGGCATTCATGCCATGTTTAACCATAGCCGATATTGACAAAAACCATACCAAGTCACAAATTAATTCAGAGGTTGCTCATCTCAGCAAAAGCATCTCAATATCCCTGGCTTCTAGAAGCATGAACTTAAACACTTGTCTCATTAACCCTTTCCCTGGCTGGGATATCTGAACACTTTGAGGAAGACAACGTAAAACTACGCCAATGCCAGGGAAAGGGTTAAAAACTTACAGGAGAAAGAAACAAAAATATAATTAATGGTTTCTAGACTTTAGTACTTGAAAAAATTTAATTTTTGTTCCAAAGACAAAACTTTGGTTCCAATATTCATTAAGATCCAGTTAGGATGTGTGCCATATGTGAAAGATTGGAAACATGAAGTTGAGAACATCACCTTACTTCATAAGTGCTCTCACCTGCTTCTCAACAATCATGCTCAGCTTCAATTCACTTTCAGCTGCCTCCATGAAGGTGCTACCAAGAACTGTGCCAACTAATTCCTGAGCAGCTGCAACTACTCGGTCAGGTCTCACAGCCTGCAGAAAAAGACACCATGTTTATTTTCTTTCCGACACATCTATCACCTCATTCTTACTCACATCAGCAACAGAAACAGCACAGAAGTACACAATACATGTAAATCTGACTCACCTGAACCAACAGCAGATTATACACTGCAGTTCCAATTGGACTGAGAGGCTTTTCAATTTCCCAAAGGTGAGGAACAGCAGATTCAGGATTTGGACTCTGAAGCCAAACTTGAACATTATCGTTACCAAGTTTGGACAACAAGTTGCGGAAGGCCAGCATCCTGGGAAGTCAAATATGAAAATCTCCATCATGACACTTCACTGACAGACATCGCTGAACAAATGCACCAACTGCACAGGCTCACCTTTGGCTCAACTGATGGACAGCATGAGATCGCTCAAGATCCAAGCCACGAATTGATGGAACATCCTTGGCAAAAGTGATTGCCGTTTCCTTCCCTCGCAAGAAGTAATTGAACTCATGCTCAAAGCTGTTTCCTTCCATTTGAGTGCTAAATGACCCTCGCAGGAAGATGCGACACAGGAGCAAGGCCAAGGTTGGGCGATCATCATGCAGCATTCCTCTAGCCACTCGTTCATACGATGTCTGTGCCACCAAAAAGGGAACAAGGGTTCTTCTTCAATTACTAGACTCAAGAGTGGAAGAGATCCCCCAAAGTAAAGAATACCATATATTAAAACTGATATGAAATCATGTCAACAAGAAGTGGAAGCAAGAATTGGATTGGGCACTGGTGGGGCAAGTGAGTAGTTGCCTCTTGTCATAATGCTCCTGTGTGTCAAAAAGTTTTATTCATACTATCATTTTGAATGAAACATTTGTAGATATAAAGGCTCCAGCAGACAATTCTGTGAATGCAGACAAGTACAAATTCTGCATTAACAGATTTTTCTTCTGCTGTCTGTGAAACAGAATGCTGGGTTCTGAGATGATTTTTGTGAAAGAAAATAAAGGCAAAGAGAATTAGGAAAAGGTGAAGTAAGCAAGTTAGATAATGGCAAGCCTCCTCTCCATGTTGTTTGTCCATGTTTGGACAGTGTCCAAATAATTCCACAACAGAGAATGGCTTTGGGTGTTCTTGTGTCATCAGCTAGTGTTTTCTTACCTTTGGTTCTTATTTGCTCAGTTTTTTTGTGAAACACCCAACTAATGTGGTATGCAATTTCAACTCCATTATGATTGCTGGCATATTGGGAAGGGTAATTGAAAGCTTCCAGGGTTCCAATTACTTCATTTCACCATATCATAATGTCAAGGCATTAGGAATAATTAACATTTTGAAGGAAAGGAATTAGTTGATTGGCCTCAGGCAGCAAAAATGGCAGTGACAGCAAAATAAATTAATTTGTACTTATTTGTTCTTCGTCCCCATACATGAGGACACCAACTTTTGCTACTGTGAAGTTCTTTCCTCATTCTCAAGGCAACATACCAATTCTAATATGGAAAAAGAAAAAGAACCTGAAATATGTCCTTGGTGATGATGGTGAGGCGTTTTGCAGGGTCTTTGACATCTCCCAGATTTGGATTGTTACCAAGGACTGCTTTGAAGACATCCAGGAAGAATTGGAGGGAATACTGGTATAGATAATGAACCTGGTACAGACTCTCCAATGTGAAGTAGATGGAACTGCAGGCCTGTTTAAAGAAAACCAAGTATTATCATTGATGCCCACAGCTTCACAGCTTTAGTGGCAATGATGAGATTCTCACCTGAGCCAAGGGAAGATATTGATGTGAGACAGTGTCAATCTCAGCAATCACTTTGTCTGTTTCATCCACCTTTTGTCCAATCTCTGCTGCTTGCATTTTGAGTGTTTCTAGAGTTTCTATGACCCTATCGTCATCCAAGATACGTCCTTTTGCCTCATTCAGTGCACCCAGTAAACTCTGCTCCAAGTGCCTCAGTCGCAAACGGAATTCACCTGAATGATGCATTCCAAAGAGAAAGTCAATAGATTTTAATGGGTCAGTTTTGTGAACTGTAGATGGAGACTGGCTTTTGCTAACAATGACCAGGAGAAGTCTGCTGTCTTCCCCCGAAGAGGTTCAAGTTAAAATCCAGTAAAAGCTTTTCAAATATTTCTGTGCTCTCCAAGCATATTATAATTCTGACTGTAACACCACTGACCTTGTAGTTTGAGGAGGTCACATCTCTTCTCATCAATGTCAGGTCGTTCTGCCTTCAATACCTGATTGAGGCATTGAGCCTGAAGAGAGGCTCTGGTCACAGTGAAGTTGACAAAGGTCACTCGAGAACAGAGGTCAGGAGGGAATTCCACAGTTGGGTCCCGTGTGGACAGGAATATGACAAATGAAGGGGAAAGATCAATGTCTTGATCACCCAAAGTGATCAAGACTCGGCCACCTGTGCGACGCAGTTCACGATTCAGCACAGGATTCAAGATTGGATCATAATTTTCCACATCCTGCAAAATGAGAAAATAGGACTCCTATTCATGAAGGAATTCATGTAAATATGCTAACTTTTAAATGTTCCAAACTCAAGATAACTTAAACCACCTTAACTTAAATATACATTCATGAACTGTTCAGGTGATACATCAACAGATAGTAGTTGAATGATTATAAGCAAGATATTGCAGCTTACCTGAACAAGCAATGGGTTCCCAAATCTCAAGGCTGACTCCAAGTTTTTGCGAAAAGCATCATCAAGGAAACTGGTCTTGGTGATCTTTTTCTCTTCAAACTCTTTCATGATGAACTCAGTGGCTTGTCCAGATGGATCAATGATCAATGGGTATCGATTGAATCTCTGCAAAAAGCAAAGGAGGAGAAAAATTATGCCCTGAACCTCTGAAACAGGGAAAATACGAACAAAGCAACAAACCTTCAACATGATAGCATTTTCAGTGCAAAGATCATCAGAAGGCAAGGCATGTGCAGTCCATCTGAGTCTTTCATCAGGATTGGAGAGATATTCTGTTCGGGCTATATCTGACCGGAAGAGAATTTTTGCAGCTTGCAAGTGATGAGACCATGTAGTGAACAAATTGTGACGGTACTGTTGGGATAAAAAAAAAAAAAAACAGGTTGAAATACACATTCATCCTTCATAAGCTGTGAGAACACCAAATGATGAGAGCAAACCTGTTGGTCAAAGTAGCCAGCATAAGCAAGGAAAGCAGCAGACAGGAGGACATCACCCACAATTGTGTCCATTTGGCTCTTAAAGGCCTCACTGCTCCCTTCCCATCTCTCTTGTTCCGCACTCAGGGAGCGAAGGAGAGCCATGGATCGATCCACCTGTCAAAGTGAACCTCTGCCATTAGTAGTCAGGCTCATCACTTCTCAAAACAGCTTGAAGAGAGAGCAGAAACTCACTTTGGCCTGAACACTAGCAAGATCTTGCTTGATAGCCTGAGCCTGAGAGATGAGGATGGCATACTCCTCCTTGTACTTGGAAATAGATGCTTCCAATCTCTCAATGACAGCTGCAATGTCGTTTGCCTTGTTTCGATTCTCTTCTGCCTTGCTCTCAAAAGAAGCTAGTTCCTGCCTCAATGGGTCCACCTTCTTCAGCATATCAGCATAGTTGATCTAAGCAGAGAATTCATACTGATTCATGCCCAGTTCCTGCCAAAAGTGATATTAATCAATCTGTTCCTTCAAAATGTTTACCTGAGCAATGGCCCATTTGACCAGAGGCCCACATGCATTACTAGCACGATTGATCTTCTCAAAGTTGTAATCTGGATTGCTCAAATACTTCTTCCTCATCTGGTCACGAACATCATCCCTACAGAGAGGGAGAAGAAAATAAGTCTGAGCCAATTCTAGGAGAAAAACAAGGTGAAAACCATTGTGTCCTACGTTATGCTCTCCGTTGAGAAGGTAATGATAGTGGAGATGAAGTTCTCCCTCATCAGAATGCTCCTGATGCTCTTCCAATCTGACACAGGCTCACCAAGGACCAGGCATATTGACTCGAGAGCCAACTTTACAAGAGCTGGTGGGTTTCCCATGGACCTCACCTCAACTAAATTCTGCTTCTTGATTGACTGCACAGCTGTTTTACAGGGGCAGAGAGAGAAACCTCATCAAAAGAGATGTCCAAGTTGATGGTATTTACTGGTATTCAAAGAAATTCTCACCCTGCTGAGCATCAAGAACAGCTGGTTCAACTTGAGATAAGTCAGCCATCACTTCTTGGGTCTTCTCCTTGATGTCTTGCATCTGCTTGGTAAGTTCCTTCTGGATTATTTGACTCTGACCCTTCTGATCCTCAGCTTTTTGCTGATCCTCCACCATCTGCCGCAGTTTTGCATTGGCAGCGTCGTTCTTGATTTCTAGCTCCTGCATTAACATATAACATCTGATGAGCAAATGCAGATTCAAAAGTTTCAATTTCTTTTCTGACAAGGCGACAAGACATACTTGAGACTTGACTGCAAGAGACTTCTGCATGTCTTCCACCTGCTCCACAGTCTCAGCAATCTTCTTCAGGCCCACATTCAAATGAAGCTGCTGCTCTTCCAATTCAGACCGTTTCTCATTGTAGAGCTTCACATAGTGGTTGATGAAGTCCAAATAGTGCCTAAAGAAAAGTGTGAGAAATATCTATGGGCAACATAATAGAAAAAAAAAAAATGCTGAGCATGAAGAGAATCTCATTCTTCTCTGTACCGAGGAGTGATGGCCATTGTGTGAGCTCCTCTCCTTGTCAACCGGGTGTTGGCCTTGTGGAGAGTCTGATGGACATAAACACAAGCATTCACAACAGCATCTCTGTAGGTAGGTGGTTGAGGTACTCCCTCCCATGCAGCTGGGAAGAAATCAGGAGCCCTCCACATGGGACGGTCCAAATCAACTCGGATCATGAACTCCTTTCCAACCTAAATAACAAAATTACATCTCACGCTCAAAGTTCAAAAAAAGCATAAATAAGAGAAAATTATTAATAGAAACTTAAATAAGATAGTCAATTGAGTCCAAATTCAAACATCTGGTGATATAGAGAAAGCACTTCAATGTTACCTGGAAGAGAGCTTCATCACTCCAATCCCCAAACCAATTGAGGACACATCGATTGAAGAGAGCCGGAGAAGTGGCAGCTCGGCTCTTGAGTCCTTCGGCAGATGGGTTCATTGTAAACACTACATGCAGATTCCTCATCACCTGCTGAGTAAACCACCGATAAAGCTCCTCTGTGGAATCCAACATCAGTCCTTCCCGCTGAGCTCCTTCTTTGCATTGTGTCATCAGTGTTGTGTATTCATCACCTGACAAAAGAAGTCATTCATCATGCATGCACAAAAAAAATAATTAAGCCAATCAATCTGAAAGGTAGAAGCTTGCTCACCTTCAAAAAGTCCAGGAACTTCACCATTGGCCAAGAGAGTGTTCATCCTTTCTAGAAACCCAGATTCAAGGATATTGGATTCATCAAGGACAAAACAGATCTTCTCCCCTCTGCAGCCAGCCCGCCGGAGGACACTTCGCAGGTCCTCATCAAAATCCTCTGCCGTGTACTTGTTGTGAACCTATAGCACCAGACACACAGTTAGTAGAAATAGCCTTGGAGATCACACCATGACTACCATCAGAATGAATCCATACCTTCACTTGACAGACTGATAAGCCATTGATCCATGCAACAAAGCGGGCCAAAGTTGTCTTCCCGGCACCAGATACCCCAATGAGGAGAACGTGGCCCTGAGGTTGTCGGAAAATTCGGTCTATTCGAAGGACATGGTCCAAGACTTCATTGAAAAGGACCAATGGAACATCCAGCTCCTCTTCATAGAACACCTGCATGTCAAAATCAAACTCATGTCACCCATAAGTCTTTGTTTGAAGTCAAATGCTGAACAAAGGAGGAGATACCTTGAGCCTAGCCTTCACATAGTTGCGGAGCTCTTCCCTATCAACGGGGAGGTAGTCTCGAGTAAGCCAGTTGGAGTAGAGGATAGGTCTGACCAGAGCTTCCTTGTGATTAATGCCAGGGAAGTGTCTCATGGCAACTTCATCCAGGTTTGTTTCTGTCCAGGTACGTTCACTCTCCAGAACCAAGCGATCTTGGAACAGCCTCAGACCTTCATGGGCCCAGAGCCTCACAAGACCTTCAACTGACAAGGATTCCAGGGGCCTGGGAAAATGAAATAAAATAAACTTTTGATAAAGCATATGGTACACATGGAGGGAGATTCAACATAACCATCATATGGCCATACTTTGATGCAAAATCTCTATTTCATTTCCAGAAGAATGAAATATTTCAGTCAGAATAAACTCCATCATGATAAATGCATGCAGGAGAGATAGGATGACTGAACCAAATTTCTCTAGCGAGCGTAAAATAATGGCTGAAACAACACAGATCTTCAGCACAGAGTGCTGCTCGCATCACATAAAATTCCTGTCATGGTGACAGACTCTCAGATGCATGCACCTCAAATACATAAATTAAAATCCAACCTGAGTGCTTCACAGATGCCTCGAACCCAGCGGGTCATCTCACGGGGAGAATATACATAATGTGGCTGCATATCTTGGGTAAATCGTTCTTGGCTCAACAGGTAAAACTCTACCATAGCAGCTGTGAGTGGCTCAGCAAATGCCTTCAATGATGGGATCAGCCGCAGCATTGCTCGGTTGAATGTCCCATAAATCTGAGAAGGATAAAAAGAAACAACAGTGATGTCAAATATGATAGATGAACATGACTATGTCCCTTGAACTAGAAGCTTCAGAAAATCTGATTTAACCTGTTTCAAGGAAGTCTCCCCAGGATAGTCAACATAGATGACAGGGACATGTCTCAGGAATCGATGTGACAGAGGTTTTCTCCCAGGGTCAGTGGGAGGGTTACATGCTCCCACAAACTGAATCCTTTCCAGTTGCACCCAGGCCTGCAATGGCAATTATCATTTTCCACTGGTTGCAGGCTACCACATCCAAAGCTAAGGTTTCTTGGCATGAACATGATACCTATACACATTCTTGTCAGATGTGAAAAGTTGCCATTAATGGCCATATGCTATTATACATATAGTATACAGTCACCCTCTTCAACCCTCTTGCTTCTGGATTGACTTTGCTGTATTGTCCTGGCATACCATGTCAGCCAAGAAAGTACTCACAATGGATCCATCACATTAAAAAAATTAAATGGACAGGGAACTATGGCCCTAAACATGACAAACTAATCTTGTGGCTAAGCAATGTCCATATCTATTGAAGTAAAGACTCATAGCATAGAAGGCCCATGCCTTTCTGCCATGAGCTAACACAATTCCAAATTTGCTATAATTTTTTTTTGGAATTTCTTTTGCAAAACAAATGTGACATGTATGTCTCTTAACTAAATCCCCTTGCATACCAGTTTTTATAATTGACCATATATTTCAAAAATATTTTTCAATAGGTATTGTGAGACAATGAAAGTGGGAGACTCAAACAGTTAGACATCATAAGAGGTCTACTTGTTTAGGAAAAGGAAGTCCATTGAAAGATGATGACACAAACATAATGTAGCAAACCATAAAAAAGCAACAACCCTTAAGATGATATGATTTTGAAGGGCATCTAGATGAAACACACCTGATCTGATGTCCTGTAAAAGCCTCCATGTTCAAGAAGCTGTCGCAGGAATGAGATAACTCGCTGAGTTCCATACTTGTCCATGTCTGGGAGGTTGATCTCATCACAAAAGATCACAATCCATCTCCCAATCTAGGAAACACATTCAAACAGAAATGAGGCCATAACTTTAAAATGATATCCAGCCAGCTGCCAAACAGGTAGTACCTGAGCAGGAGCCAAGACAATGCCATTTGGAGTGCGCCGATATTCACAGTAGTGATCAAAGGTCTTCAGGAGTAACTCAGGCGTTGAAGCTGATGAGAAGTTGAGACCTACTACCTCCATGTCAGGGAGGCTTCTCAAGGCAGCAAACAGGGTCATTGTCTTCCCACTTCCCGGTGGACCACACAACACTGCAAAATCCAAGTAAATCCAAATTGTGAACACAAGAGGTAGAGAAAAATGTAAATTATATTATTATAATGGTTAGTTCGCAGAAAGCAGGATTCATCATGGAGGTAGGAGGAACATTCTGGGCATTCACACAGGGATACTAAGGCATTAATTTAATTCTTTTTTCCATGCATGCAAGGTCCGAAAAATAAGATGCTGTCACCAATTCTCACCTAAAGGCTTGTGCTCAGCCAACCATGTGTGCAATAGGGCTTCATGTCTCACAGTGTCCACAGTGGGTACAACAACATCTGGTGCAGCCACCTTATGAGTTTCAACTTCAATCTGAGGAACTCCAGCTGCTAGTGGAACCCAATCCCCATTGATGTTCACCTATGTCACAGAAATGTTGATGCACTTCCACACTAAAATTGCAGACAGGTTTGCAAGTAACTTCAACTACACTTACATCGTAATCAACAACAGGTGGTGGAGGTAATGGGATTGTGGTGACTGAAGCAATGAATTGACCCAAGTCCTGCCTCCCCTTCAGCTTGCAATCCCCTGAGAAACTCCAGAGAATCCCTTGCACTAATGCCTTGGGGATGTACTTCTCCACTGTCTCCACACTCATAGGAAAATCTGAATGATTCTGGTTGTATCGCAAGATGTTCCTGAAGAGAAAAAAAGACCAAAACAAGTGAAAAAAAAAGGAATATATAAATAAATATTAATATTAATGTTACTTTTTTAATGGTCCAAGCATAAATACTTCTTTGAAGCAGTTATGAATGCACTGGCCAAATGCCAATTATATTTAATTCTGAACAAAGTTGATTCCCCAAATGAATACATTTCTCCCATGACTTTGGTATGGAAAAGGAACCTACTCAGACACAAAGGTGATTCAAAATAAAAGAATCCAACAAATTCCTTCAGTGATTACCTCAGTGACTGATTAATCATGGAGAAGAGGGACCCTAGAGCTCGTAGGCGGGTGAAATCCATCACGTGCTCCATGTTTTCAGCTGCATGCTCCATGCACCGAAGAACCAGACCATCTGGACCAAAGTAGGGCTGCAGTATGTTTGCCACATCTCTTTGGACCTACAAAGAATGAAATGCAGCTTTCATTCTCTCACTAATTAAGGTTGAAAATCAAAACTGTTTTTATTGTAAAATGTAGCATCTCATACCTGCAGTGCAGGAGAGACACCCTTGTCCTCCCCAGAGGGTTGCAACCCAAAGGAGAAGCGAGAATCCTCTTCTCCTTCTTCCAGAGGGATTTCTCTCATTTTCTGAAGGAAGTGTTCACAGATCATGTCAGAAGACAACACATCTTCAGAGAACCACACCATTCCACATCTGGACACTGTGGCCAAGGTAGCAAACTTCAAGTCTTGGACCTGAATGAACATAAACAATGCATTTATATTCCATTCACAGCTGGGATCTCTCTCTTTCAAGATGTGGATCTTTAAAGCTCAGATTTAAAAAGCTCGTTTCAGAGTCTTCATGGACATAATTCTAGGAAAAGAATATTGCATCACTGCTAATTCCAAATATTCATCACATAGTGAGAATGATGTTGACCTACCTCAAACATGATGCGAACATTTGGAGGGATTGACAGCCTTTCTCCATTGGGGAGGGTCAAGAGTTTATTGTCATCCAACACTGAGTTCAGGTTCTCAACCCATTCAGGGTCAACATCCCCATCAAATATGATCCATTGCCGCTTGTTGATCTCCCCTCGTACATTGTCAATGATCTTCCTCAGAATGTGAGTGAAGAGCCCATCAGTCCATTCTCTTGTGTTTGGATCAAGGGAACCATAGAGGATCTCCTTTGTGATAGCTTTTGGTTCCAAGACATGATGGACACCTTCTACGCCTTCAAGCCTCTCAAGAGATTTGAGGAGGACTCGCCATGCAGTTGACTTGCCACTGCCAGAGGGACCCACCATCATGAGACCATGGCTGAGGGTGCAGATCTGGTACAACTGGAGGACCTTATCCATCCATTGCCCACCAGGTTCATCACCTTCTCCACACACAAGATGCATTTCAGCACAGACTTTGCGGATTTCAGCCTTGAGGGCATCCATTTCACCCCGAGTGTACTCGATGCCTGGGAAGACATCTGAAAGGAGTGAGAACAGCAGTGGAATGTCCTCAGCCACAAGCTTGGGGACCATGGTTTCACACACAGCCTGAATCAGAATCTCTTGCTCAGCTGTGCCTTGAGCAACTGGTTCTTCCTTGGATATCTCTTCGCCTCGAGCAACACGTCCTTCTCGGATTTTTTGCAAACGCTCTCGTTTCACATTTCCAGCGCTCACAAGGACACTCTTGAGTGCTCTCAGGCCAAAGTCATAGTGGGATTGATTAGAAAGCTGCTCCTGACACAACCTGGGGGACAAAAAAAAAAAAAAGAATGAATGAGGGTTTTTCCTTTTTACATTTGTCAGTTGATTCATAATGCAACCAAGTCATTTTTATTTCTATTGTTCTGCTTCCAATACTCACTGATATGGTTCAACTACAGAAAGCCAATTATAGGAACTTAAAATTTTAGCATCACTGGGAAATTTCCTGTTCATGGTCACAGGTTATACCATACAGATCAGATAAGAACTTGTTAGTGAGAACCAACATTATCCATTGCCATATGAAGTAGCTTACTCAATGGCAAAGTCATGAATGCCAATTGCAGGAGCCACTCAAAGAATTCTTGAATGCTACACTGAAGATTCATATACTCCTGCTTTACCTGAACATGTCGCAATTCATTTTTAAATATTTGTAAAAAGGGCATTCAAAATCCTATGCATAGGTGGTTTCCCAGCAAAGATGAATGCTACATGCTGTTAGGCACAGTAACTGACACTGAAATGACCTTAGTAAAAAAAAAAAAAAAAAAATTACTAGAGCTGAACCTTCATGGAAACTACAGGGATATAGATATCATTTCAAAAATTCAAACTATGGTGCTGGATGACAGCTTTTGCTAGATATTTCCATAAATACCCATTATATATAAATTTAGCAATGGAATTTTATATACATTGAAAGTGCAGAACTTACTGGAAGAATGGCACAATCTTGGAAGCCAGCTTCTCTGCTGTTCGGAAGCCTTGGGAGAAAAGCATGACTTGTGCAATGAGCTGCCTGTCAGGTTGGGTCATGGCAAGGGACCTGAACAGCTGCTTGAGGTTATCAGGGAGATTGGATCGGCCTGCATATCCTGGGTTCATGGTGATGAATATGGCAACATCAGTGCTCACTTTCACCTGCTTTCCAACCAACTCCACAGTCATGCCTTTCAAATTGAATATTAAAAAAATAGTAATAGCTGAAGAATGAAGCAGTAGATAAAGGAGATAGCTGAAGTCTAAGCTCACTGGCATCCTTCTTTCCAGCTTCAGCCTGAGACTTCAAACATTCCTGTATAGTCTGAATCTGCTGAGACACAGCTGACAGCATTCTCTCTTCCAAGCGATTGAACTCATCAAAGCACCCCCATGCTCCAACCTAAACATCCCTTGCTATGAAACTGATAATAAATGTGCCAAAGATCATACCTTCTTAACTGACCTGGCACAGTCCCACAAAAATGCGGCCCATAGCCTGGAAGTCAAATGTCTCATCACAGTTGAAGACCAACACAAACTTCCCAAGCTGATGTCCCAAAGCCTTGACAGATTCAGTTTTTCCAGTTCCAGCAGGACCTATACAAGTATAAAATGGCAAAAATTTAGGATAATGAGCAATTAATATACTTAATCTCTACTTATGGCCATATGGTACACTCACCAAATGGTGATCCTCCAAGCTTAAGCTCCAACGCTTGGGTCATTGTGAGATAGCAGCGATCTGTCAGAGGTGTCTGCACAAGTTTCTCCTGAACACCCAGATATTCAAATCCATAATAGAAACGTGCATTGGCCATGCATATTGTTAATTTCTGAAGGGGTTCTGGATTGTTGGGATCGAAGTAGAAGCGCATCTGAGTCAACCACTGGAAGCTCTTCGAATTATCTACCTTCTCCTGAATCAGCATCCTAGTCACTGTTCGCTTGTGCACATACTCATTGATCTGCAACATGTTGGTATTATATTATTTTCAAGGTTCAAAAGATGGAAACAAAATAAACAAATTCTGATTAATAGGAACATACCAAATGCTCAAGCTTCTTCCTCCTGACAGGAGGCTGCTCCTGCAGCACTGCATCAGCCAGAATTCCTAATGTAGTCTCAACATCTTCCAGTGCACCCTTGAGGGAGGCTTTGGAATCCTTGTTCCCTCCACGCTCAGAATAGGACAAAACTCCCTCCACTGACTCACTCCAAGAGATTTGCACTGCCAGAATGACTATTTGGGCCTGGAAGTACAGTACCATGGCAAAAGTCTTAGACTAGGAACCCATACTGAGTCAAAAGTACAGGTCTTGGGTTACTACCTGATACTTGTCAACCCATTGGAGGAACGGTCCAGCTGCAATCCCTTCTTCTCTCAAAAGTTTGAGATCCAAGACAGCTTGTGCTAAGAGCCCAGCAAGGGTGAGCCTCATTTTTTGCTCAACCTCCGTCAGCCATTCATTCACCTTTGGTACATGTGATAGGTCCACTGGTTCGGGGAAATGTACCTGTGATAGGGATTAACCATTTTCAAGGTAGTATTGCAAATGATCATGACATACAGTCAATAACAGGGTCAAGAGGCTCAATTTCTGGCCAATTTAAAATTACAAAGCACTTCTTAAAACAACTTTCAACCCTCATCTGCTATTTATGCAAAAACCAGTTAGTTATTTAATGGTACAAATGATTAGCCATAATCAAGCAAGTCAGTGTGGATGTGAGAATTGAGCATAGGCCTTCATGACAACTGTGAAGGATAAGCAGTCACATATTGTGCACTGCATGACACCCCCATACCTCATACATTGAAAGACCCTTCATTGTGCAATTCTCTGTGAGGATCAGGGGATCTTTCAGACAATTGCCACTTCAAAACCACATTACAAGTAGTGATGTCTAATGGAAAACTGTACAGTCAAGCTTAAAAACCCTCTCCCTTAGGACTTTCATCAAGAGGTTCTTGTACAAAATGTTCAATACTTGATGTATACTTCAATAGCACAGACTAAAGAAAGCAGATAGCCATGAAAACAGAGGTTGCCACAAAAAGTTTACATGGTCATGCCACATGGCCCTGGATATTACATTATGCCAGATGGCAAAGGAGGGGAAATTGGCACTTATTTTGTGACAAAGCAAAGCTAAGCACATTGCCTGCATTGAAGTGTGAGGGAGAATAGGGATTTGACAAAAAAGTGTATTGGATTGCAATGCATTAGTAGCCATTCAAAGACTACTTCCACAAAAATCCTATAGACCAGAATCAAAGACCAAGTACAGCTTGGGAACTCAAAGCTAATTGTAAGGAGCTCTGAATGACCAGTCATGTTTTGACCTGCTTCAGCTACCAAAATTTGGCTGAGATTCTCTTCCCACACTGTTTATAAAACCATAATATAAAATGTATACATTTTCCACAAATATTTTGTAAACAGTCTGAGTTAAGCCAACAGCTTCAGCATCATCATGAGAACCAGATTTATCTGAAATTCATATCAAATTCAGCTGCATCAGGAATAGAAACAATGAATCATTGAGACAAGCTCCCCAAACAGGGTGAGCCAAAGTCTCTCATAGACTTAGCCAATATCATCATTGCAGCTCAAGATGTAGCACAATAGGAAAATGAGCAATTTGAAGGTAAATGTGAAACACCAAATAAGAGAGATTATGGTTGGAGACAAAACATGGAAACTGCAGAGGATATCACATTCTTAATCACAGAAGAATAAAATATCATCAGAAAAAAGTCTGCCAAAATTGCAGAAAAAATCACATTCTTAAAAACTACAATACAAGGTCAGAGAAGGAATTCCATATGCTAGTACCACCATGCAATACTGTTAGTACCTTGACATTACTGTTAACAGGAAATCTCCAACAGGGAGTATTTGTACTGCCCATGGAATGGTGACGAAAGTTAACCCAAACATGGATATGATCATAAAACACCTCTAGAAAGGGAACATGGAGTGTGATGAAGACAGAAATGGCCCAGAACAGCTTACAAGGAGTACAAATACAGATGAATGTTACAGGAAAACCAATTCGAAATCCACTGGACCAAAAAATACAGACTTTGAAATAAGTGGGTTCGAATTATCTGGTTTGGCTTCGAACCATCCAATATTGAATTAATGAGGTTTTCCTGTACATTGGTAATGTAACTAATACTACTCTCAACCAGTCACTTGATGACTTTTCCTCCAATTAAGTGACTGGTTGCAAGTGCTTTCAATAGTTCTGTATAAGATAGCCTTTCATGGAGGTTGCAGAAAATGTTCTTCAAACTCTCTTCTGTGAAAAGTTCAGCAACTGCTACATAGTAACAGTGGTAAATTTTTTAAAACTAAAGAGAATTAAATCACAGATTCACAGAATGAAATTATCAAGAGAAGGATAAATCCATTCTCTTTCCTTCCCCCCCCCCCCTCCATCTAGGATAATCAAAACTCAACACTTGCAATTAATCTGTTCACCAGTAGCAATAATCAAGCATACATTATCAATGATGGAAGAAGCATTACTCCAGAGCATTCAAATGATAATGAACACAAACCTCTTCTCCTTCACGTGAAGCTATTCCCAGGATAGCAGAATAATCCTCTTTCAATGTGATGGATGCAACACCAGCAAACATCTTCTTGAAGTGTTTCTGAAGCCGAGGAATGTTCTTGCTGTTTCCAATGATTTCAAGCAAATCTTCATCCCCAACAAAGTAAAACCTGCAGAAAGATAGAACCACATAAACAATTCAGCTACATACAAATCATTATGTAAATAATAAACTTAATGGTATTAGAAAATTACCTGGGAAAAGATGCTCTTTCTCTCTCAAGGTATTCACCAAGTGCCTTCTGGATCTTGCCCAAGAGGTCAGCAAGCCGCTCAAGTGATCGTTGGACGCCTGGGATTGCCAAGACATCCAAGACCAAGGGAGACTTAGTGACCTTCTTCATAAGTGTCAAGAATTCAGTGCTGGAATAGAGCCAAAGTTGAAATGTGAAAGTGGACAGAATAAAACATGCATCTATTGCATAAGAATATTCTGAATGAGGCCTCAGATATACCACTACTTAACAAAAGAATGTCATCAACATAATCATCAGAGCAAGAATCATCACAGGAAAATTGTGCTTACAATACAATCATAATACAGTGATTCAAATTTGCTTCTTGTTCATGTACCTGATGCTCTGGAAGCGTGAGGTTTCAATAGGAAGGAGGGCCTGAATGTCTGCACTGCCACTGAAAAGACCCTCCAAGTATACCCAACGACGCTGAACGTCAATCCATACATCAAACAAGGCATTGATGCGATTCAGCTTCTCTTCCCAAGTAAGGGCCTCCTCCTCAAATACCTAGCACAATTACCAAGACATGGCTAGATTTCATGACAGTTGGATACTCTGCAGAAAACATCCATGAACTTATATTCATGAGAAAGTCAGAAGGGAAGCATTCAGGTGAAAGAGTCCCTAAAAACATGACACACTACAAAAAAGGCAAATCCATAAGAATTGCTGTCATTCAAAAGACCTGTACTTTTATGCCAGAGATCACTAATACAATCCATGAACTCTAGAAATGTAAAAATACATCATTAGAATCTCAGAGTTGAACAATACATATACACATACTAAAATATTCAGTAAAAAAAATTGGAAAACCCACAAATACAGGGCTGATAGGTGGTACACCCCCTTCTTTCTAAATGAATGACTAGGCAGCTTTGAATGAAAACAGACACCTCCAGAAAAACAGATCCCTTAAAACTTACATTCCTTTTCCAATACATCTAGGCATTATGCATCATTCTTCGCGCATATAAGTGAGCCTCCGACAGTTTTCACAGTTCAACTTGCCCCAGTGTGTTTCAGATGAACATCCTTCAAACTGACACTTATTTTGGAACCAAAATCCTGGAACACCAGGTAGTGACTTTCTTTAAAAAATTATGCAGAAATATTTAAAGTAATTGATAATGGATATCCATCAACTAAAGCTCATGAAATTACCTTGTAGTAGGGGGAGAGCTTCATGGCTGTCACAGAATTGATATGTTCCTTGACCTTGGTAAAGAGATCATCCCAGCCTCGGATGAGCTTGCACTTGTTCTGATAGTTGACCAAATCCAGCATATAGGACTGCCAGGCCTCTCGAACCTAATAAGATTTTGTCAGAGACAAACCATGAGGCATGACAAGATAGAGCTCCACAAACATTAATAAATACATTTTTTCGCTGCAAGGAATACCTGTCTGAGAAATTCTTCAAGAGCTTTCTCCCCCTGGGCAACCAGGATGACATCCTTGACAAGACTCTCATTCCTTTGAAGATCTACATCCCAGAGCTGACCAAGTGTGAGGTCATTGAGGTTCCATGTCACACGAAGACCCTTCATCAACTGCTTCCAGTGTCGCTCCTTCAAGGCCTCAGATTTCAGTTCTACCACCAGAAGGTTAACCTGTACCAAATGATAAAAAATGTTCACTTCACTGAAGAAAACTTAAATTTATGGCCAAGTAAGCAAAGATCTCTGGTCAGTGATTGATCATCATCAGAGAATGTCTGAAGAGGTGTAGTTTATCGTCATCATCCAGGAGATATAATGGAAATATAGTTGTCACACATCAACAATATCAATGTATTAAAGAGGCACATTCTTTCCTTAAAGAGTGTAGCTTTTACCATACTATGCATAAAATAGAGAAGGTAATAAAAAAAACCATGATCCAGCACATGTCTGTTCTCCACTTACAACCTATTGCCACCAAACAAAAAACTTTAGCTGCACTGCCTCCAGCACAAAGGATTCAACAATACTTGCTGTATTACTAGTCCTTCACCCATCTCAGCAAAACCCCTTTCTGACAGGGATATTCATTAGGTCTATTCAAATGGCCACAAAAGGAAGCAAACCTTGGCATATCCTTGAAGGAGTCTTTTCACATGGTCATAGGCAGAATAATGTCGAAGTCGGGCTGGCAACTGCTTCAGCTGGGTCAACAAGGAATCCAACTGCTGTCTGAGCTTACGAGGTTGCACAGAGAGCCATGGCTGGTCCCTCAGTTGGTCAATCTGAGTCCATATCGTACTCAGCTCACTCCAGACTCCTTTGAGGTCCAGCAATTCTTCTCCTGCCACTTGAAGGTGAGTTTCACTAGCAGTGGACATCCCTGAAAAGTCACAAATAGATGCATCAATCACAATATGATGTTATCAGGCTATTCGGCCAAGAAAAACAGATTCATCAGTGTCATACCTGGACTGGAAAGCTCCAGAGCATCTTTAGCTCTTGCTACATTATCCCGATCTTCCTTGAGCTTGGTCAATCGTGTCTCATACATGTTGAGCTTTCTCAGGGCTTCCTCTGGACGTAGGGACCCTTCTACTGGCTTTGATGCATCCCACTCTGAAAGGTAGTCTGCTGTTCGGCTTTCTACTGCCTTGTCTTCTGCCTCGATCTTCATCTGAAGACTGGCAACCTTGAAGAAAAAAAATTACTGGTTCCTTAATGGAATCAACACATCATTTCAGACCAATGCCTGCTAGTTGTTGAACAGACCTGTGTCTGGATTGAAGAGTCCTTACGCTTCATGATGGCATTAAATGCAGACCATTCACCCTCAATGTTGTCAGCATGAAGCCAGTTGGATGGAAACTGGAAGCGCTGCTTCTCCAGGAGGCGCTGCCCATCTCTGTAGAGAGTCACTTGTTTCTCCCATGAGCGAACTTGTCGTTTCAGCCCTTGGACTTGGGTAATGAACCCAACAGCTTCTGATGTGCTAGCTGCTTCTAGGGTTTGGCCTTCCAAATCTCCTCTTGACTGATCAAAACAAGGGTTTTCATCATTATCAACAAGAAATGGAGAACTGAAACCACAAAATCACATATTGAACTTTGCATTTCAGAAATTACTCAAAAGTCTCTTCACAATATTTCAGAAGAGGTGTCAGAAGGAGTGTATCATCATTTCTATAAATCTTTGGACAGTTAGAATGCACTCAAAATGAACAATTTAATGGGGTTACCTTGGACACAGCACTGTGGAACTGGGCCATCTCTTGACCTAGGAGCTGGCCAAACTTGCTCAAGACTTCCTTGTGCCATGCATCATATTTCAGTGTCACCTTGCTCTGGACCTTTGCATAGTCTATCACAACTGGACCAAAAGCTCGTCGAGTGTCACTTGTGTCAAATGTTGTCCGGCACTTTCTGCAGGAACAAAGGAGAATCCTTGCATATAGACATATGAATACAACTCAGTATTCCAACAGGGGAGGAATTTCCTGCATACCTAATGTCATTCAGACACTTCATCCACTTAGAAACATCCTCTCCAAGGCGAGATATGAGGTTGTCTTGTTGCAAGTCCCATAGTGATTGGTATCGGAGCCATTCATTTACATACTTTTGAACCTATTAAGAAAAAAAAAATGGATTGAAGGGATTCATGACATTCACTAATGGTGAGCAACTTCTTATTCATGTGGAATTCAGAGCCATGTAGTCCTCCTAAGGATCACAATATAGGTATTCTGAAACTCTCTTCAATCTAGCAGATCTGACTCCCTCTCATCCCTTCCACAGAAGAGGGTTGAAAGGTTAACTGACCTGCTTCTCTTCATAGAGCCAATTAAAACAACTCACCTGGTTCATCTTGTTCTCAATTGCTTGGTATGCTGCATCCAGGATCCCACTCCCACTTGGGATCTTAGGCAAGAGATTCTTGTATGTCATGCCTGTTGGCCGGTCCAGGGCTGCCTATAACCACAAGTTGGTATGGTAGGCAAGTGTGAGGACAAATAAAACAGACATTGCTGCAGCTACCAATGTCAAAGTCTCACCTGATAACGAGAACTTTGTATTCTCTTCTGAAGAAGGATGACATTTTCCCAGGCAAACATCTGATATGTGATCTTAGCACGGGCTTCCTCAATACTGGGATGCAGGTACATGATTTGATTAGTGATGCGGATCTCATGGATTGAAGCCACAATCTAAAAGGGCAGAGAGACTGTTTTATAGAGAATGCAACTTCAAATCATGTTATTCTACTTCCTGGAGTTCAGGTATGACCTTCAGATGATTTCATATATTAAATCACATTGGTTCATGGGATTATGCCTGAAATATAGCATCATGAGGAGACATAACAGCATGTAATGAAAACATGCAAACAACAGAAGAGGACATACCTGTGGATCCCCACCAGCTTTGTGTGTGGGGGCTGGAGGAGCATCAGTATCCATGTTGAAATCAGGCTCTTCTTTTCCACCTTCTAAAGCTTGTGTCCATGCTTGAATACCAGCTTCCAATCTTGCTGCCAGTTTCTTTTCAACCTGTGCATTGTGGAAAGAAGTTGGCAAGTGTGGACTACAAGGTCAAAAGCCTGGGAATTCCCCAACAGGCTGCAATGTGTAGCAAGTGACTATCCCTGTTACATGAGTGGTTAACAAGTACCTTTCATTGCCTCTTTTATAGATTGCTGATGCTATTTGATTTTGCCTTCCAGTGTCCCCCTGTTTCCATCCCTTTTCTTCAGCAATGTTTTGAACTGATCCTCTTCTCTACTTCTCATAACAGTACTTCCACTTACTCACTACCATCTGCCTTTCTCAGAGCGCTTTCATTAGTACCTCATGTCAGGCAGGCTTTACATGCCTCACCTTACTTTTTGTTATATTATCCTATCATTTCCAGTATCCCCAGCCCTCCCAAAAACACAAACCCTTGAAACTCAAGAAGGCAGTCTAGGCTTTTCTAAGCACGAGTATTCACTGGAGGTTACCACTGTCCGTCCTGATATAAACTGAAAAAAGCTCACAGGAAAAATAATCCAAGCCACATTTACATTGTTTTGAGAAAAATAAAACTTAAGTTTCAAAACCATCTGGCTCTAAATGGGTGCACATATGTTTTCCCTGCTTAAATTCAAGACTGTGATCATTTTGCAAGTTTATGAATATCAGAAATGAAAGCTTGTACAACAAACAGCACAACAAACAACAGGTGGCAGCACTCTCTAAAAATATCAAAAACATGACTTTGATCATTCTTCTGGTGGGTTAAATTGGTGAAAGCTGGATGTGTTGGGATTTTAACAATGCTGTTGTTTTCCTAGACACACCATTTTGTAACGTGAAACTTCTATTACTGCTTTTATATAACTCTTTGTGTATTGATGCCCTTTCCTCCAGTTTCCTTTTTGCTTCATTATATCATCCTCTGTCTTAAAGCAAATGCTAAGATGCATCCATATAAATAATTAAAAAGAAAAACTATAATACCTCTTCATCAAGACGAGACACCCATGTGTGTAGGTTTGAGTACTGCTTTAGACTCAGGTCATCTACAGATTTCTGGATCTTGTTTAATATATCTGCAAAGGTGTTGGCAGAATAGGCACATGTCTCCAATGAGCGAATGTCTGCCTGAAAAAAAAAACAATTGGCTGAATAAAACATGTCCTTGGAAGAACTATGAAATGTGATTTGCTAATTGATTGAATACCTCTACTTGCTCCATGACTGCAAGAACATCTTCTGTCTTCTCCTGGAATCTCAATACAGCCTCAGCAAGTCTACTTACATATGTATCCAACTTGTAACTCTCCCAGACAAGAGTGAAGCCCTAAAGATTAGACAGAGAAGGATATTATTCTCACAATTGGAATACACTCAACAACCAATTTGTCAGATTCTGCTAATTACCTCAGATATCAGATGCTGGACATCCTTATGAATGGAAGCCACCAGTAGTTCAATGTTGGCTTTCTCCTCAACCTGCACACAAAGAGAAAAATGAGCAAAACACCATTTTCCCATGAATGCATGCCTCAAAACATTCACTGCAAAATACATGACTCCAAGGGCAAAACAATCTTGCTCTACAAAGCTATGATGCAAGCAGATCATACAATTACACTCTTCATGATCCAAAAATTCATGCATAGAGGAAAAGGAGGAAGCAACTGGCCTGAATCTCTCTCTGATTGAGCTGCATTATAAACAGTGAATCAAAGTCTGGACTACAAATACTCAAAAGCATAACTAGGGAAGCATGAGTACACATTCTGTACACAATCCTGATAAATTTCCTTAGTGCTCAACATGCTGCCTTTCTAGTGTGAAGTTCTCAAAGCACCTAACAATTACATTTCTGTTAAAAGTGATGTTTCCTACATTCTTCCCGATTGGAGACTCAGTATCTGCTCACCTATCAAGTAATTACAAATAAAAGTACTGTATTCAGCAATGTAAAGAAGGAAGAACTGGAATGAACTTAAGAAAGGTTAAACATGCACCGAATGGGATCTGAAATTCATGCATTTTAACTCAAACTTAGCCTAATAAATCGATAACCAGTCAAAAAATAAGCAATTCAAAGCAAATAGGTAATTACTTAGTCAACCCATAATTACCTGTATACTGAGGGCAACTTAATTTTGATACCTCAGCAGCCACTGGCTTAAAAGAATTCAGAAGCGTAACTTACATGATAGACTTTCCTGCAAGACTATATTGGTATTCCAGGGCACTTCATGCGAATTGCATTTGTAATGCCAGGTCAACTCTTAGACAATCTTTCAAAATGTTATATAAATACTTGCATCAAAGTAGCATATTCTATAAAAACCAAAGTATATATTCATTATGGATCCTTATTAGGCAATCTTTTAAGAGTATGCTTGCTATTCTTTCTGGACTATCTTATTAAAAAGGCATTAGTTAAAAAACCAACCCATCCCTATCTAGAAGAGTAGAAATAACATACCTTTGCGAGAGTTCTTTCATAAGTTCGCACATTCTCAATGAGAGAAATGGCAAATGGGTAAAGTTGATTTGCTTGATGGGCTTTGTTGACAATGGCTAGAGGGACTCTGAAACCCAACCCCTTCAAATGTCTCACCTATTATTATAAGGAGAAACACAAGAGCAACTTATATATTATTGGCATAAATTGTATTGTTCATGCAATCCATTTGAAACTCTTCTCACTTCTTTAGAGAGATTGATGATTTCAGGAAGGAAATTCACACGAAGCTTCAGTATGGAGCCCTTTCCACCTCTTGAGCGCTGACTATCAATTGCAAGAATTCGTCCAGTGACCCCAAAGTTTCTATGTTGGACATTCCTTGCCCACTCTTCAAACACCTACAAGAAAGAAAATAATTGAATTTTACATCTGAAATTCACTCAGGCCCCAGATTATTCAGGATAATTACTGAAGCCTTACATCCTTTGTATCTAGCTTCATCTTGAAGCTATCACCATCAGCCTTGAGTTTCTGACCTTCAACATGACTCTCCCAACCTTTGCCAAGGACATCTTCCACTCGTTGAAGGTATGTCATCAACTGCTGTTCTATCTGCCTGGCCCAAATAATAAAGCCAGACACAGGAGGCACATCTCTCACATGGCTCATTCGTGATGCCTGGCTTGAAGCATAGCCAATCTGAATAAGAGAAATGGCAGAATTATACAAAATTTGTAAATACTGATTCCAAAAAAAAAGGACCACAAACCTTGAACTTTTCATGAAGCTTCTCAATGTCATCCTTGACCCGTTGGATCAACTGTGTCTGGTACTCTCGAATGGCCCCTCGAATGTGAGGACGAACAAAGAGAGCGTTGTAACGGGAGAAGATGCGGAACATCTCATTGGCATTCTTGGCCATTCCTAGCTGATCACGCAACCGGGCAGTGATCTTTGTCTCCACCCTATCGATTCGTTCTTCATACCTTTTTATTGCTGCCTGCCATGCCTCATTACCTTCTTTGGTTACATCCAGACTCTCCACAGCTTTGACATTTTCATAAGCCAGTTCAATTTCCTGCGATAGCACCAGTTAAAACATGTAATACTGATCCAGCTGGGGATGAATGATTAAATAAAAACAATGTACCTCTGCAACATTAATGTCAGACACATCAAGGGATTGAGGGTCCACTTTGGGTTCAGCAGTAATCTCAGCATCAGGGGTCTGGGCAAGAGGAGACTGGGCTGCAGTGATGGCAGGTCTCAAAACTCGCATGATGACAGTACGTAACTGCTCATGCTGCCGCCTGAATTTCCTCATTTGCTCCATACGAGTTTGGAGTTTCTTGTGATCTGGTGATATCCTCCACACCATCCTCACATGCTCCTGTCTCCGTCGCTTCACTAGATCCCTGCATAATTTTCATTTTCAAAATCTAAGGTCTGTCCTTATCTCAACATTTTTTTGGGGTGTTAAAAGAAATGGAAGAAACCCATTTACCTCAAAAGGCTGACAAGCTTCTCATACTCATCATCCCAAATGTTGAAAATTTCAAAGCAGGATGTCATGACCTTCTCAAACTCTTCAAAAGGAATATGCATTAGTCGACTGGAACCAAGGACCTGATGTGGAACAAAACAGTAAAAAAATGCAGCACAAGCCAAAGCAAAGTGCATTCACTCCTTCAAGCATTAAAAAGACAAGTGCTTTGGATGTTTGCAAACTTCAAACCTATTTACCGATGCAGAAACAGTAATAGGTCTGCGCGTGTGCAACTCTATTTTATCTCCCTGTTGCATACTGAAAGACATTGAAAGATGATCAAAGTCTTCATATAGCACATTGATGCTTGGCTCCAGGGATTTTACAGTGCTTAATGCTTCACATAAATTAACATCAATCCAATGTAGTGCTCCACTCTCTTCTATTTTCCATATGTTTGTGCAAAATCATGCAAAAACATATGTAGACTTGATTTACAATTACGGAGATATTTGAAATCTCCACAAAACACTTTTTTTAAAATAATTTTTCTTTAATATGATTTCTAGGATACTAGTAAAAGGTTATTTTACAGACTTATAATTCTTGAAATTCATCAGTCAGACTTACATTTTGTTCATAAAACTCCATAGGTCAGAATAATGAACACCTTAAATTGTCAGACTACAACTAGTAAAGTTGCGCTTTCACAACTCAAAAAACATCAAATTTAGAAAAATACCTTGAGCATTTGAGTTGAAAGATCTCTAGATATGGCTTCCAAAAGCCTGATTGCCCTCTGAGTAGGGTACTTGGTGTTGCGAATCTTCCGTAAGTGTGAGAAGATGCCACTGAGTGCCATGCGAATCCTTTCGAGCTCAGTAGATGACACCAGGTCATTGATGGGAAAATCTTTCATCAATGGATTGTAGTCATTCACCAATTCCAGAGCTTGCTCAAGTCCTGCAAATATATGTATCAGTACTGCTACAAAAAGGACAAAATGTTTGATCCCTTCAGAACAAGTGGCACAAACCTGTGTCATTCTGAAAGCTGACAGTAGCATGGAATCTTTTCCCCTTCTTCAAGATATCTAAAGTCAGAGAGATTTCAAGACTCTGTTTCTTTTCCTGGATGCGATGAAGCGCACGTTCCAAGTTCAACCAGAAACTGACTTCCTGCAGAGTAGTCCCAGATGATGGATCCCTGTCTAATCTTGTGACCTACCAAGCAAAATGAAACAAAGTCAATTTATATATTTTCTATTGAGGATTCCTTTGCAATCCACAAGACAAGATATGAATGCAGTGTTTCCCAGTACCTTCTGTATTTCTCTGATCCAACGATTAACACCATTCTGAAGTTGATTCAGAAAGGCAGGGTCCTCTACTTTGTCACCAAAGTCATCTACTTTTGGAGGGAGTGATCGCTCAGCAGCCTTCTTGATTACTTGTGCCACTACTGGATGTACAGGAAGAGATACCTCAGGAATTTCTATGTTCTGCTGTAGATGGAGCAGACCCAACTCCAGCTGGGCCATGTGTTTTTCCACAGTAGGAACCATTTTATCTCCAGCCCTGAAAACAGAGTATGACCAGAATGAAATTGAAAAACTTGGTTACCCTAAGAAATACTGCTACATCTAGTAAGCAAAATGCTGTAATTTGCTGAAGTTCAAGTTCCTCTGTAAATGTGCTTAAGTTTAAGGTAGTTTGCATTCAATTTTTGCAGCTCAAAGCTATCGTTAAATCTATTGCCAACAATATCCCATCACATCGAAGTGAGAATTATTCAGGAATCACTTGACAGACAGATTAGAACTTGGAATCAAATGTATTTCATCTACACTTCTGCACATCTGCAAGGAGCTCTAACTTAGGCAAATCACTATAGGTGGAAGTAGAACATCTGTTCCTGGTCAGTAGACTACCAAAACATTTAAGATGCAGTGGGATTCTTGTTGCCATGAAACCTCAGGCAACAGAGAATGACTTCTTGTCACATGGAAAATAAACAATGATAGTCACAATCCATCAGCAACAGCAGTTCCATTCATGCTTCCAGAGCTGACTGTGTATACAAAAAAAAAGCATGGGTCTATGTTGCTCATCGTTGGCCTTTATAAATAAATCAAATGCACCATGCAGGATTGGATTCTAGTGCTATAACAAATTTTTTTTCAAATGTTAGCTCTTTTTCATAAACTTTAACAATCTTTCTCTTCCAATAATCCCAGTCACTTTCTGATATTGGTAGCAAAAAAAAAAAAGTCTGCCTATGCCATGAATAGGAAGAGCTAAATCACCAGCAAAATGCAAAAACAGGTGAAGATAGAATCACTGACCTTTCAGTTTTCCCAGATTCCTGCACATGGCTCTTGAAGACTGGAGTGATGATATTGCTCACATATGAATGAAGCGTCTCATAAAGGGACCCTTCGTTTAATATCATCATCCTCAGCTGAGAAGATATTGGTTTTCCAGCTTCAATGACCACACCTCGTTTTGCAAATGCAATGCTGTAAAGAAATTGCCAGAACTGAATGGGTACCCAAAAATTAAATCATAAGGTCATCCTTTTATGTTAAAAAATAGATATGTTGATTTGTAAGATAGTGAATAACCACTTTCTCATTTGTATAAGTGAATTATTACGTGAACCAGATACAGCAAAAACCAATGTGTAATACCTCATTATCCGAGTGGATGTAAAGTGCACATCGCAGGAAAAGAAATACTGGGCTAAGTCTTTCTCCTCCTCTGCATCAACATTTTCAGCACTGCTTCCCCCTGGAACAACCTCATCTTCAAGAAGAACAGAGGGCGTTCAAAGCAATTCCCTCTACAATTGACATATCCTAAAAGATGTCACAGATTTAGCAAACCTTTGATCGATGTCTTCTCAACAAGCAGAGACCTGCACTGTGAATCACCAATGAATTTTTTCACTGCCTCCAAATTTGTAGGATCTTGGCATGCTGCTTCCAGAGCTAAAGCACAGTGACACATTTCGGCTTTAAGCAACTTTTTGGAATGCAGCAATTTAAATTTTAATGGACATAGACATGAGGCCTTTCAGACATAGGATAGTAAAATGGGTACATAGTGCCAATGAGTATTTTGCCTTCTTAAACCTGTCCTGAATTTTCAAACAAGACAAGTCCCAAAATGTCAAGAATTACAATATTTCACTCACCTGGAGATACTGTACACTCTTCCTCTAAGAATACAGCAATGACCCTTTTCATGTGCTGCAGGAAGGTACTAGAATCAGCCAAAGATACTTGGGCTTCAACACTGGAGTCTCCAGCTCCAACATCTGCATCTGTGACATCAGCCATCTTAGGCTGATATACAGGTCACAAATGCCAGATGGAACCTATGGAAGCCCTTAAATGGGCTATTGCTTAACTTTATCCAGTGTAAGCATAATGTGCTACCAGCAAGGCCTATATAGGCCTACCTATGGGAAAAAAAAGTGCAAATTCATCATCACACCTAAGGCCCTCATCTTTGGTACAAACTATTATTAACACACTAACGAAATATCCACTAAACAGCAATCACATAAGCACAGAAGCTTTTCAGTGATATTGGGGAGGACAATCCCTCTTTTGACCCACCTGAGCTCTCAGACACCTTGACTAAGGATAAAGAGGTGAGAAAGCATGTTCACAAACTATAGCTCATGAAACTTTTGTATAAAACTTATTTTATATCATCCTCCTGCCTGTTTCATCTTAGCATCAATACCTTGTATTTTAGTACTGATCAAATCTGCACTTTTGAATACAATGTATACACAGGATACAATACTCAGTGAAACTGAACTACAGTTTTGACTTAACTAATTGCCATGTAAATGCAATATATAAAATAAATTCTCAAATAAAATAGAGTGTAATCCTTTAAATCTGTTATGGCAATAATGGTACTAAAAGCCATATTTGTTTGTTTGCTAACTACTGTTACTGTTTTTACTGAGACTTTTTTTATTAAGACCAAATTCCTAAAATAGTGCCAAAATAAAGGATTCATTAGAGTATCCAATTGTGTTATAAAAAGGATGGCTGATATCAACTGCAAGAATCACACTAGTTATGCAACAAGAGTGACAAACAAAAAAGCACACAATGCACCACGTTTTAAGCATAAATTACTTCACAGAAAAGCTTCAATTATTTAAGTTATTGAAAGCCCTGTGCTTATGGCTGCATTTACCGAAAACGTCAAGAAAACTGAACATTGGATGATAGAATCCACATCTACAACCACATCCGCAACGAGGGGAGTTCAACTACTGTTTGAGAGTACGGAGGGCAGAATTGATGGGAAGAAATATGGCTGCCGCTTTTTCCGGGCGGCGTGCGCGACGAGGCTAGCTTGGCTGGGGGCGAGCAGTCCAGATATGTTTACCAAGCTCCTAGATAGGCCTATCCCTACAAGATGGTGCCTGAGCGCGTGGCGGAACTGACGTAGGCACAGTGTGCACGACGGGGTTGAGGTTCACACACCTCAACACCCATCACCGTCTTCCACACCGTGTGGACCTTAAACCTTACAAATTCAAAATTGAATCTGCAACCGCTAGCCCTTCTCTGAGTCATGTTTCTTAAGACGAATGCTACTAGTTGGACAACAGAGATCAGACCTATTGCAGCTGTTGGGGAACTCTACGCTCCCGGCACTTCACTATGGCACTTCACTCCTCGGCAGCCCCTTGTGAGAAATGGATGCAGGGCTGTCAAGCGCAATGCTTTCGTGGCGACGGTGGCGCTTTACGCGGTGGGGTATATGTTATACCCCACCGTTCTGAGTATAACGATGGAAATGAATTTACAAAAATCGTAAAGTAGTGTAACGGTACTCTTTTTCGTCTTTGCGGCATTGTAACGTAGCCGGAACGAGTGTTTTGATTCATTATGAAGCAGATCCATTATGGCAACACTTGGCAGTTTCTGACCGAGCATGCCACGGAGCTAATTGACGCTCCTGGAGTTCCCAACTCCATGGGCCCGCGATTCATGTTTTTTTTTCTTCTTTTTTTTTTTAGTGCATCCTTTCAGGAATTTATCGTCCTTTGTAGTCGCATTGGTTTTGCACGTGGGCGGATCCGGGAAGGGGGGGGGGGGATGCTGAGCGAGGTGGCAAATGAAATGAACAAAGGTCATGAACCTCCTCAAATCCTACGAACCAAAAAGGCTTTACAGAATATGGAGTAGGGTCGCCGTAATAAATAAATAAATACACAATCCCCATTTTTCTGGTTCTATTTATCTATGGTCGTACGTATTCCTTTTATGGGATATTATGCATAAGAGTAGCGTAGATGAAAAACAAAAGCACGGGAACTCAGGGATACTGTTATCTTATATTTCTGGGTGTATTCCTTCTTTTTTTTGGCTTTTCTTGAAGTGGGGGGCACAAGCCCCCTTTAAACCCCCCCCCCCCCCCACGGAGGCTGCACCGCTGATTATGGGAGTTCAGCTGCAGTTCGGTCATAGTTTTAGTTTAGTGCTAGCCTGAAAAGACACAAATAAACCCCAACTGGAACTGGAACTGAACTGCGACTGGACTGCAGTTTTGAAATCGGCTTTCGTCATGGACAAAAAAATACTTGCAGAATATCGCTGCGTAATGATCCCCATCTAAGGTATCCCCCCAATAAATTTAATCTGCAGCGGCCATGATGCTCCACGTGCTACCTGCCTTTGCGGGTAGCGATAGCGTTTATGTGGTGGGTTGCTGCTCATTTGCAGCTCTTGCTTGTCGGGCTGCCTTCACCGTCATTGGGGATATCCTCGTCCTTGCGAGTTCTTCGTACTGATAGCAGTTACTGTCTGTATGCTTGTGAAATACCTTGTGGCTCAAGTACCCTCCATCCCCGAATGAAGTGAAGCGACCGCTTCACATTTGGTGCAGGCCCATACAAAAATAAGCCTGGCTTCATTTTTCGGACAACAGGATCGTTCGTCACTTAAACTTATGTTGGATAAGATTGTTATCGAACTTAGTAGCATTAGTCATGAAAGGCATCAAGTTCCTATCCCAATCCAAGATTGAGTTTCCTTTAAATAATAAAAAGTAAGATAAATTCACATTTATCAAATTCTTTGAAATCTAACTTGCAAGGAAATCATAAATGAAGAGTGGGAAAGTCAATTCTTTTAGTATTTTACTTTGAGTCAACTTTTACCGATGAAGGGCTTATTTCTGATGTTAATTTTTTATCACTTCAAAAGATTGATCTGGCCCCCTGGAGCTTGAGTTTACAAATATCCCCGGTTCAACCAAGATTTGCTTAGCATATGAGACCTTGAAGCTGATCCAGCAGCAAGTACAAGAGAGCAGAAAAAAGGTGGTGAAAAACTTGAAAAGGTTGAAGATTGCTGAAGAAGTGTTGATGGACTTCATGAATAGACTTTGAATTTGCCAGGGAGCTATTCCAAGGAGTGCATAATGAGATTGAAGGTTTGTCGTTCCCTTGTGAATATTTTTTTGTAAATGCTAGAATGAAAATTTATAAACAAGGTGTAGCAAAAATATTTTCACAATGTCTAGAAAATCACCACCTTTCTTAATTTTCAGTAGCCTATTGATTTTTGTTGCTCTTTTTTTTATCACTTGATGTTGAATATCTTTCATTCTAAGTAAGAGTAAAGGGAACTCATGCACTGAAATCAATTGACAATATTAAATGAAGTTTTTTGTTTTATTGAATAATTTCATAACATTGCTGAGGTGAGTGGTTATGGCATTATGCAGAAGGTCTAGGTTTGAACTTGAGGGGTCATCTCCTAGGCTGGCAGTTCACCTGGCTTCTTTCAAGTATCACCTGCTCTTCCTCAGGTGCAAACATAGGCCATTATACGCTTCATGATGCGAGAGATTGGGGTTTCAGATGCCTCAGTTGTCCGTTCCCACATTGGCTCTGGTGACTTGATAAGTGTGGGATGGAAGTTGCCATCAAGATTCACTTTACTTTATGATGTGGTCAGTTACATGTGCCATTTGTCCTTGTCTATGTCTGTCCCAGTCCATGTTTATTCCTATTTAAAAAAAATTAAATATATATACATTTCTTGGCAACTTATGCTGATTTTTATTGTCAACAGGGAGTTATATCTATTTTAAGAAAATGTAATTTACATTAATTGAATGTCAAGGGAGATATTAATTTTTTAAGAATATGTAGAGATTCATGATGCAATCACAGGAAAAACTAGTTTGAGAGTTGTCATGTTGCCTATCTGGTGCAATAATGATTTATTGCCATGATCTCTATCATCTTTCAGAACACAGCCTCACACATGTTCAAGTTTTATTCCCTCTGCAGCATTGCATTATCCGATATGATGGCACCAGCCTGCCGACACTTTTGTGAGATATTGTCTTGTGTCACCTTTTACATGGTCAGGATTTGGGTATCAAAAAGTTGTGGCTGAACAAGGTGCTTACATGCAAAGAAAGTGAGGCCTGTCCAGTCTGTATTGCTTTTTACTGTTTGGGTAACATGTTTTATGCTGGATGGAGGAGAAGAAAGAATGAGTCCTGCTTTGTAAATATTTTCATGTTTTTATCTATGTGGAAAGAAGTATTACATCTTTGTGGAGAATTTGATGCCTTCTTGGGATGTTCTCCATATGCCCTTCTCAGAATATACACTAGTGCATCTTGTCCCAAGTGTCATAATACTATGCTATGCCAGCTCAAGAGAGACATCATAGCTTGAATAATATAAAATTATTGCATTTTTCATAATTAATAATGCATCAGTAATTTTATTTACTTTGATGTCACTTAATCAGCCCATTGTTCTTGTGCTTGTATTGGCCTAGGCTACCTTGTCAATAGGTCTGCTGCAGCCAAATGCTTCGCTATTATCAGATTGAATTGGCACTGCTGGTATCCTGGGTTGTGTAGGGTTGCCACCCATTCATAATTAGTATGGACAGTAAATATTTCTGATGTAATGTCCATAAAGCTTAATAGCAGCTAATATCGTTATTTTCTGTAGGTCAAAAGCAGTAGGCCACACTCATAGTATCGATTGGCGCCTTGGCTTTAGGTGGCTGTGGGTATACTGTACTTCGAATATTTGTCCATATTTTGTTAAATTCAAAGGTGGCAACCCTAGTTGTGGGAAATGAAGAAAGCACTACTTCCAGAGGATTTGGTTCACCAGGTGATCCACAAAACACCCTTGTGGAAGCTGTCACTACTAAGAATTGGTAAATGTTCTCCAATGGGGATACCAATTCAAAATGAAAAGTGTACTAGGCAATATGTCCTGGGCGCCTGATGTTAGCCCAGATATGCCTGGATGTATTTTTTCTATGTGATGGATTGTAGTTTTGCATCCCATATGGGTTCATGCATTTCTAGATGCTTCTCTCCTATATCCATCCAATTCAAGTTGTTAAACTTCTCCCCTACCTGCACATTTTTGCTCAATCCCCTATGCAAGGTCTGCTAAAGCAAAGGTATTCTTCTGGCTACCTGTTCCATGCCAGTTTTGGCAATTTACAAATATTCCTTAGGTTGTTTGTTCTCTTTTCTTGGAATGGTATGGTAGCAGGTGAAGATTTGTCAAATACCATTCACTAAGAAATTCCAGAGATACTCATTTCATTGGTAGTTTCTCAGTTATGTTATTCTGACCTTAGGCATATGCCATTAGACATCGTTTATGGTAAATAGTTCACCAACACATTTGCTTTCATATTGACCAGGCTCTCTGCACTCACCTCAAGCTTCTACCTGTGGTACTACAGGCTCAGCATACATAAAGGGTGTCCACAAAATCCCACCGCCCCATGTTTTTTCCTACAGTGCTTTGAGCAGCAAGTGAACATGTGGAACAATGATGATAATTCATCATTAGTTGTTTGTTTTACACAATTATGATGATTGCATTTAGAAGTTAAGATTGGTGTGAGCCAGGCCCTTTTCTTGGCTGGACATGGTGACAGATCATTCTTTGCCATGAAAATTATGGCACACAGAAGTCCAGAGGGTCATACCAATTCTCTGGATTTCTAAATTCAGTCATCATCATCATGGTATGAATTAAACAGCTGATAATCAATTATAATTGTTCCACATGTTTCACTTGTTGCTCAATGCATTGGAGGGAAAAACAGGAGTAATGGGACTTTCTGGACACCCTGTACAATGTTTTTCTATTGAGTTAAACTATGCTTCACTTGACTTGGACAGCTGTGCTTCCCCCAAGCACAGCTGTCCTCATGTCTGTTCCTCATGCGTGAGTGTCTAATTCAAGTAAAAACACTAATATAGCATGTAGTGTATTTTTCCCCCAAATATAAATCTGAAAAGTAACTGCTTGGGTAACTGCACATTAAAAGGAGTTCAATTTTTACACCTGATGTGGTCCAGGATACACCTACATCTGGGTAGGTTGGCCCCAATCTAAATACCTAACATTTCAGAGAATTTACAACAGGTTTGAGGGACACAGTCTTTGGGGCTCCACATTTTGGCCCAGCCTGATGCTTAGTATTTGCCATCTAGCATTTTCTGTTTACAGGTCAACTGGAGTTGTGACAAAGATGGACACAAGTGACATTTGGTGTGAAGTGTGTAAGGTATCTCGTAAAGGGAGAAAGAGATATGAGGCCCATATCATTAGCTATAAACATGAACAAAACATGTCCAAACAAATGAAATCAAGTGCGAATGTCTCAATGCACAATATTTGCAGCGCTCCATTGAATGGTCCAGAGCCCCTTGAAGTTCACACATATGGTTTGCAACATAAGCGCACTGTCAACCATCTAGAACACACAGTACCCATCCTTCCTCCCTATGTCCTTGAAGTAAATCCTTATATACATCATCAAGAAGATATCACAGATGACAATATATCCTCAACTGTGCATAACCATATCAATGATGCCACAGTCCAAAATCACGAGCCTTTATCAGAAATTGATCTGGACAAGGGTATCCCTGAGCTGCAGAATATGCCTCTGCCTACTCAACATGACAAAATGGCATCAGGACTGATGCATAAGCACCATGAGGTACAAGAGCCTACATCAACTTCTGCTGAGCTAAATCATATTCCTATGATTCCACGGATGTCAACAGCCAATAGTACTGAGCATACTCTTTCTGATACCTTCTGCAGTTCTTCTGCAAGGGTCCATCAGCAACTTTCAGTATTCGTTGGAATGCCACAGGAAAAATATTATGGCTGTAGTAAACCTGTAAATTCAATGTCTTTCTGTGATTCAAATGACATAAAGAGACATGTAGAATATGAAGAATCAGTAAGCTATGTTGAGGATTCAGAGAGGAATGAGCAGGAACTGAATAGTTCCCCTCCCAAAGGAGAAATTATGTTGTCTCATGATGATGTGATTGGTACCAGAAGAGATCCTATTGAGGACAGCTGTAGCCCTACACAAAGAGGCTGCAGCAGGCAATTGGTGTTATCCAGAGATAGCTATAAGGAAGCCATTAATGGGGAAAGTTGCAAGGCAAGTACCGTATCTTCTAGTTTCATTGATGGAAAGCAAGTTATTCAATGCCATAGAAACACAAGTGCTCGTGTTGAAAATTATTCAGACTTGGCTAGGTCTGCAATCTCTTCAAGTCTGAGGTGCAGAGAAGGTAGGATGGGAAAAACCTCATCAAGGGAAGGACATGTGAGTGGTAATCCAAAGTACTGTTGGTCTGAGCAGAATCAGATACATGGCATAGAAGGTTACATGAAGGTGAGTGAGAAACCATCCATCCAAAATGCCTCCAGATATGACCCTGCCATCTCATCAAAAGCTGCTGATGCCAAATCTTTCTGGAAGTGCATTAATCTCTTGGAAGATATCTGTAACTGCCTGCCAGCACCTGTGTGGGATATTGTCAGTGAATTTTTCAAGCTGGTCAAGGGTGTGAAGGAGAGGGAGGGCTTGAATGGTTGCATGAGATTGTTGACAGAGAAGCTCATCATTGAGAAGCTTAAGGAAGTAAGCACCAACTTGAGTTTGGTCATCTCAGATGACACTCATTTCCTTACTATTAACAAAGGTATGTCACATGCATTAAAAGAGATCCTGAAACTGGTCCATCATATGCTCAGATTTCCTGGTGCAGAACAAACAGAAAGGTCTAAATCTTGTGTGCAGACACGTTCAGAGGTGATATTAGATGAAGTTCTAGATCATGATCATCATGATCAGTCAGATTCAGGCATCAGCAGCAGTCAAAGCTCTGTTGTCTTCTGTAGTGCCCATAGATCCCTTGATTCAGTTGGAACCAACTACATTGAGCAGGCCAGTGCTAATCAAGGTGGAGCAGATGCTCAAGAATGGGACAGGTTGCATGATCTTAAGCTTCTGCATACTGGCATCTGGGCATATCATATTCTTGAGGAAGAAGAGAGGGAAGGACTGGTTCATTGGATTGAAATCCTGGAAGACAATGATCCAGAATACGTTGAACGGTCCCTGATGCCTATACTTGATGCCATGGTCCAGAAGTATGAAGAATGTGCAAGAGCAGAGGGCCTCCATCACTTATGCCAGTTATAGAAGTCATGCTATCAATCATTTTCCTGTCACTCTTGGAACCCTTATAGATATTCCCTAAAATCTTGGCTCCAAGTTGAAGGTGGGCACCAATTTCAAATGTGTTCCTTCTAAGTACCTGCATTCTTCTAAGTTATACTATTGGCTACTATCAGGAGAAACTTATCTTTTCCGGGTCACATAATACTTGGACTTGTTATACAATGGCTTGCTATTAGAGCTCAATAATTTTCATAAAATTGGTCTTTAGAATTTTATGACATTATTTATCATAATTCAATATATAAACTTGATCAAAAACTACTCCACTTATTGTATTTTTTATTTTCATATCCCTCACAAGTTATTGACAGAAAAATTAATTGAATGGAATCATACTAAATGCCTCATAGGCACTGATATCCAATTCTGCTCAGATGATCATTTTTCAGCAACATGCATTTATTGGTTTGAACAGGAAATTCAGGATTCAGGGGAATATTTGAGAAACTATTGAGAATTAATTACAAGTCTCATACCATGCATAGCTAGCAAATAATTTATAATTCATAAGCTGATAGCTTCTAATAATGTTGAAGTATTTTTGGGGTGGGAAATGGTGAAGAAGAGGGATGAATCTACCTCCTTTTCTGTGATTTTAGCTGTCACATGGGTTATCAAGACAAGCCCTTTATCATAACAATGCAGACTCACTTTATTTCTATCAAAACGTTCTTTTGGATTCCTCTCTGTAATTCCTTGAATCAAATGGCTGATGAAAAGGAACTCAAAAATATAAAACTGCAATAGCTCTGGACATTCAACTGTCTTATTGGGTTTGGTTGAAATGCCACAGTAACCTAAATATTGAGGATCTGCAATTCTGTATTCAGAAAAGCTCAGCTGAGTAAAGATGATGAAGCCCCAGAGGTGAGGGATCAAATCCTGGTCATGTTTCTTCACTGATAATGACCCAACTAGGGAGTGTATGCATAACATGGGTAACACACACACACTACTCTATATACTACATCTAGGAGGTTTGGGTACAGTACCCACTTGTGCCAGTTATGGGCCTAGGGTTGCCATGAGTTGCCTTAAGGTGACCAAAGAAGGTGGCCTTACCAGAGGGACTGTAATCTTGATCTTGGCACCTGTGCCAAGGAGGGACCCTCTTCCCCTCTATGCTTCATATGTCCATTGTATATGTCTGTTGGAAGTTCTGCCTTTAACCCTTTCACACATGGTGTCCACTATAGTGGACGGCAAAATCAATAGCAATGATGGTATTTTAGTCACACACCTCTAAACTTTTGGTGCATGCAGTCAACTCGAAGTGCACATAATCTCTTCAGTGTTGCGTTCTAGTAATGAAACATGTGACTACTATGGCAGAGTACCACCTTAAACCAAAAAAGGCATATTTTTCTTTTGCTCGAAAAATTCATATGCGTAAGGGTTAAAGAAAAAATATAGAACTCCAAGTCAAAACTTATGTAGTGTAAGTTTTTTTTGTCAACTGTATTTAAAAACTGTATTGCAGCATTCATAATGTGGTGCCTTTTTCCTCAGGCAAAGACAAGACTATTAATCATCAAGCAGTGAAGCTTGATGAGTAATAGTCCTGTTATATCTCAGCAATGAAAGAACTGTTCAGAGGGCACTTGGAAAGGGAAAGGGTTTATTGAGGAAGTGAACATATAGACCTGTGTCAGACATTTACAGTGCCTGAAATAAGGATACACATTGCCAGTTTCTGACAAGTACAAACATCAATGAGCAAGTCATGAGATTTTTGTCTTTATTTTAGTGCTTAGCAGAAACTATTATGGAGTATCCCATGTGATACAGCAAAGTAGAACACACTGTGACAAAGAGAAACAGTCCATCACCAGCTTGATAAATGATAATTTAAAGTAATATCTCCCATATGCTGAGGTAAGCAGCATTTAGGCAACACTGAGAGGAATGGAATGCATTGCCTTCAATTGCATTAGTGCTAGGTTTAGTCAGAATGACAGAAAGCAAAGTTGAAAGTCCAAATTCTGAGCAATTGTGAAAGGATTGAAGAACAAGAAACTGTCCATTGTAAACCTTGAGAATCTGCAAGAATTCTTCCAACAACCTATGTGGAATTGCTACAAACTTGAAATTTTGATCACCAATTCCTGAAATCTTATTACTTCAAAGACAATGCAATGGCTTACCAGCACTTCAGAAACTCTGTGACTCTCAGCTTATAATATTCAGTTCATTTTTCTTCAGCTGCACTTCACACTTGTAACAGCCACTTTCTATCAGATACAGCCCTTTTTGCTGAGAGGAAAATCCCTTGCAAGTTGCAGAAGACAGTCATCACAATTGTAACACATGATGAATGGTAAAAGTAAAGGCAAGATCAAAGCAGTCAGTCTTGTCTTTCAGGAGAAAGCATGACCTGTGTTTTGAAATACCAGAAGGACACAGATCCCTTAGGTCTGCCTCACAGGATACATATTCTGCTCTCAAAAGTGTTCCATGAGAAGACTAAAAAGAGGAAGAGAAGTCTTTGGTATCAAAACAAGGGACTCAAGTTCTTCACACCCGAGCTTGCAGGGTCTCAGAACTAGCTGTTCTCCCACCAAGACTGAATGGAGAGGGTCCCTGGGATATAAGAAATAAAAAAGTTTTAGATATCAATGACTTTTTCATCAAAGAGAAGATCCAAAACAGGGTCAATTCAGACTCACCTTTTCTGCTGGTCCACTAAGAACTGACATTGAACTTGCTCGTTTCATGCTGAAAGAAAAAAAATTTTTTTGATTCTTGAAAACAATTGAGTACAAGATTAAAAGAATCACTTCCAACCATAGTCTTCTTTACTATGAGTTGTTAATACAAGCTCTTCAAAAGCATGTAGTCATAACTGGTACTTCATTCTTGTTGCTTGTGTTTAGTATATAAGCAGTTCTGATGGTATTAGGTGAAGGCTTGTAGACATTCCTAGCTTCACATCCAGTCTAAAACAGATGATTATAACTGAAGTAAAAAAAAATTACACTTTCTTCCTTCCATTTTGCAAAATGCATACTATTGGATAAAAGCAGAATGGTTGATGGTAACAAGTCATGTAATTTCTGCAAAAAAGAAAGTTATTTTGCTGCTCATACTTTTTTTTCAGACTCAAGATTGTTCAGTGGCAGATACTGGTTGAGTTTAAAAATCAATCAATCAGTTTCAATACCTTTCATTTGAATTTAAACAGTTCATTGTTTGAAACTTTGCATGATTATCACAGAGAAGGCCCCAAGTGTTCTATGATAACAAAGATATATGAACTATCATGTTCTCATTACTTTACAATTGAATTGGTAAACTAATGAAATTAAATTTAACTCAGAAAAGGTTCACATAAACTACTTTTACTCCATAAAACTCCTGATACCCATGAAATATGAAATAGAACATGAAAAATCAGAGAATGCAGGCCATAATGCAGGTTGGCTGTTAGGACTTCCTGTAAGAGCAAGATAGGAGCACCATATCACAACCTCTGCATTGAAGATTTGCAAGAGCAATTTCAGATGTCTGAACAAGGCATTATGAAAAAGAGTTGGAATTGCCTCTGAAGTTTTGGACTTGTTTGAGGTCACACAGCTGTCATTCTTGAATGCTCAAAATATTCCTGTAAGTCCTGTAAGTTGGAGCAGTTTCCTTTGGGCACTTTCTTCAAAACACCCAGTTACTTCTGCAGACCTTCAGAGTTGTTAACATTAATTATGTCAACCCTTAGCTTTGTATTCAAATGTTTTCTCTGGTATAATATAAGTACATGCTTTCTGGTGGTTGCTTTCCATCAGACTAGGAGAAAAGAAGGGCAATGGTGCTACCTACCGACTCCTGCAGGGAGCACTAAATTTGCTATTGCATTGAGACCAATTACATCAGAGAATGTGTATCGTCTCTTTGAGATCATGATAGTACACTCACCAAAAAATAGGTTCATTTCACAGAGCAAGATATTGAATAATTGACAGTGTATCATAATTTTGTACCATGAAGTGCAACAAAATATTGAAAAAGCTAACCCTGATGGGACAACAGCATCTGTCCATGTCTCATGGTAAAAACACTCTGTGAAGCATACATATGTGTTCAACACATGATCAAATGGCTTCCAGCCAACATGTAGTAGGAGTGATGTGGTGGAAGGAACAGGATAGGGATAAGAGGTGAGGGCTGTAGAACCTCCAGAGAATGGCTGGATATCATGCACCAGTGTACTAGCATGCTGAGATGAAACTTTATACAATAAAGGAATCCTTTCTCATGTAAATCTGGCAATAATACATGCAAAAGTGAAGTCATGCATCATGGTCACAAGGCTTCCTGCAGTTTCTGGTGATGTCAACAAAATCATGTACAGTCAAAAAAAACAGAGAGATAAGAAAGAGACTTATTCATTACCACATTATGATAGTAATCAGTGGATACAGTGAGGACCAAAGATGAAACTCGAAATGTGGTAAAAAAATCAAAACTATCACTCTCATACTTACCATGACTCAAGATGATGACCGACTATTTTACAAGCAATTAATTGAAAAGGAGATAAGACCCACCTTTGATACCAGTCATCGATGGAATTTGAGGGACTACCTCTGAGCCGGTGCACCAGTTTGGCTGAAGATCGCTGAATGGAAGCCCTCAGTTTTGATGATATCGAGTTGCTGCATGAGTGCCCAACCCCTGACTACATACAAACAGCAAGTGGGAAGGGGAAACAAAGATAGAGAGGAAGAGAATGGGGCAGTGGAATACATTCTTGAATCAATGAGGGTTTCCAACACCCATCAAAAGTGACCCAGAGAAAAGAGAGGAGTGAACCAAATGATAATCTAACTTTATTCATATAACTTAAAATCTTACAGAAGACACAAAAGAAAAAAAAAAAGGGAAAGATAGGCTGAGAAAAAAATCACAGGCAATACTTTCTAACTTCCATGCAAGGCTCTTCCCCTATTTCTCCCACTTTGATAATGTATGCCTGATTCTGAACTTCATTTGAAGCAACTTCAGGCATCAATTAATCTCACAATTTTGAGTTTATCCCTGAAGAGAAATAAGCACACCTCAATCCTTAGCTTTTGCTTCCATCATCAATCATAAATGCTATGCTATTTCTTCAGCTCCTGATGCTCCCTTGTAATGAAATACCACAGTGATGTTTAAAATATAATTTTCTGAATCGTAAATAAATTTATACTCCTATTACAGTGCTTTTCAATGTTTTCATATCACCTGCACAAGCTGTATAACACCTTGTACCATTTTCAAAATGATCAGTAAGTAATCAAATAATGTTTTATACCTACCTGTGGCATCCCCCTACTTGTGCTCCTCAGAATGCTATGGTGATTGAGTAATTTCTTAAATATATTTAGGCACACATTCTATAGCTAAAAGCTACACAGACTTCATTTGAGCAATAATCCAGGGACCTATGCATGCATTTAAAGAAAACTGTTCTAAAAAGATACCAGCAATAGCTTTAATAAATCCAAGATTGGAGGGCAATAAGCGAATGAAGACAGAAAATCAACTTCTGGAATGGATTAAAAATAGCTCTGCCAGTGTGCATCAATAATGCTAATAGGACCTGTGTCTGCAATCACCATTCCATTCTGAATAGTGGAGGTAGAGGTGAATGAGAAGAGGTATAAATCATCATGAAGCACATTTGGACTATGTTTTTGAAAGAAAAGTTATTCTGCCACTAGAGCCATTGAATGTGCAAATGGTACAAAACTCAATGAAAATACTGTACCAGTATCTCAATATCTGGCCTTCAACCTATATCCAAAGGACGATACCCCTGCAGAGAAAGCAAGTAGAAAGGGCATATAATATAGTAAAAAATAGCATCTGATTAAAAAAAAAACTACAAGACATTATCTCTTGAGGAGAGGTCTATATCTCTTGAATCTCTTCTAAATAGAGAATTGCATTGGAAGGAATAAATAGCTAGATCAATCTCTTACGAACTAGCATTACCCATCAGCAATGCTCTCCCATCACATACAAAGACTCGCTTCATTGACTATGATGTGAACTTGGCACAGATATGACAAGCAAGCGAGTATCAACAAACAGAGGGAGAGGTCACAGGTACACAAAATCACCCTGGTAGGTGGTTCACAGGTTTTCCCCACATCACAAGAGAAGCAAAATCCCATGGATGATAGGAGATATTCACACTGTGCCTTCTTCATCACTTTTCCCCCATTTTCATGATTTTGAAGAACCAAGAGTAAAGATCTTAAAAATATTTTTTATCCCACCCGGTCGTGGCTCGGCCTCTGCACTGGAGTCCCTGTCAGATCTCTGTACAAAACCTAGTTGAGAAGAAACTGGGTGCATCTGTAAGGAGAAAGGGTGAAGAACCAGGACTTGTAATCAACAAAACGGAAGGTACAAAAAGAAAAGATGAAGTCTGAGAATGCATGGAAAAAAAGATGGAGACTGAATAAAAAAAAATAGGCTATAGCAACTACGAAAGGGTTTCCAATAAATGGTGACTGCATCCACGATTTTGAAGCCCCCAATAGTGCTTGGTGTTGCAATCAGCCATATGGTGAATCAGGCAAGGCATACAGTAAATATTATACAGTATTTACAAGTGTAACAGATGAACTGGGTGATATTGGTCCACAGGCCAAAAGACAGAGTGTGGGAAATGAGATGAAAGGTGACAGTGACACTGCTGTACAACTGGACCCAAGCAAATAAACAAAATAAATAAAGCAAGCTACAGCCATTCTCCAAAGGTGGGTGTGCCCCCAAACAACAAGAGGGCACAATAAGGGATAGGGATGTGCACTTCGTAGCCAAATGAGCGATGTATACCCAAGTGCAGAGCCACACACACTTTCATACACTCAAACACATCTGCAAGGGTTGTGAATGAGAACAGGGAAAAATCCCCTTCCTTGGAAACTTTGATGATAGGAACACTATGCAAAGAGGAATGAGAAGATGTTCTATCCATGGTGTTTATTATCAAAACCAGAGCCTAAGATAATTCACAAAATTGCAAAATTAATGAGACATGATTTTGAAAGAAGCTCTCAAGATTTTTTCCCTGTTTTCATGTGAAGCTGCTTGATGTCATTTCATTTGATGCCAATACTCACTTCTTCGCTAGCACCATATGAGTGAAGGCTTTCTCGGGAGCCAACAACCTTTTTGGCTGCAGAGGACTGACGACGCTTCTCGCTCCCACCTGATGGGTCCAGGAGCCCTGCCACCTTCCCTTGCTTCACTAGATCCAAGGCCTAGAATATGGTACCATGGACCACTTCCTGGACTTTCTTTCTCAATACTATACTTCAGAGCCACTGTCAATACTGGCCGTAATTTCTTATCATAACTTATTACTTACATTAATAACAAAAACAGAAATATTTTCATCACCTTCAAAAACTAGATAATGCCAAGGGCATTCATATAAGGCTATTACTTGGCAGGCCCACAGAGAATGCTCAATGCACCCTCAGGAATACATGGAAGTTCATCAAACCATTCAGGCTCAGCATTGAAGGGAAAAATAGTAAAATTGTACTGGTAACAAGTGTCTCAGACAGAGGGATGTACAAAAACAAGCAAAGAGAATTACAAGAAATTCATGACAGAAAGATGATTTGACACACTCACTCTTGCAAACCATGCAGTGGTGAAGAAACTAAGAAAACCAACAACGTTCTGCAATTGCTAGGTACCATCATCTCATTTCCCCCAACTCCTTTTCTATGGCCTGCCCTTCACCCCAGAAACTTCCTTACAAGCCAGCAATGCTGTCCTGTATTCAGAGAGATCCATGATTGGGGAATGAGGACTCACCTCCTTTCGCGACCGCATTGCACAGTCTTCAAGGGTTTCTGCAGCTTCAAACTTCCCTTGCCGTCGATAAAGAGCTCCAAGATTTTTCAGGGTTGTTGTGACAGTGGGGGAGTCAACTTTTGCTGCCTTGTGCCATGCTCCATATTCACCATATGGAGCTTGACCTGAAGGTTCATTCCTCCCTTTATTTTCTTCTCTCTCTTCAGCCACTTGCCAGATTGGCTTATTTTCACCTTAAGCAGAAAAGTACATCAACATTCACATCACATCACACATCAGTCTTTAAGATAAGCATAGAACACAGTCTCTTCTGCTTACCATCTATACTCCCAAATTCCCGCTCATGTGCCCTGGTGAGAACCTGCTTGTAAAGGATTTCAGCTTCTTTATATTTCCCCTGCTTGAGGTAACAAGAAGCTAGATTGTTTTTGGTTTTTGCTACATTAGGATCATCTGGTCCCAACTTGTTCTCATAGATTTCCAGAGCTCGCTGATAGTAGCATTCAACTTCTTCATATTTTCCCTACAAAAAAAAAAATTAATTTCCAAAAATGATCCAATCTCATTCAATTGGCACATAGATAATAAAAAAAGCATGCAAGAAAAAATTTGAAATCCATTTCTAACCTGGTTCTGACATAAGAGAGCCAAGTTGTTGAGTTGCTTGGCAACATCTGGATGATCTTTTCCCAGGACTTTCTCTCGAATCTCTAGAGCTCTCTTGCAAAGTGGTTCTGCTTCCTTGTATTTCCCTCGTTTCCCATAGAGGACAGCCAAATTGTTGAGTGTTGCTGCTACCTGGAATTTAAATAAAATCACTATGCATTGTATGCATTCCAAATTTGACAGAACATGAGTCTAAAGACGGGCTGCACTAACAACCATTTTCAAACCACTGCCTTTCTCATTCTCTTTCCAGACTTTTGTCCTTCAGCATTGATCATTGTGAACATAAATTAATAAATTTGCATTCCTTTGCACCATGAGGCTTCAAAAATATGGCATGGCTTCAAAGAACATCTAAGCAAGTGAAATAATGATGTTTCAATGATGATCATGGAAAAAACTCAAGCTGTCAAGGTCCACCACTTCCCCACACTCTCTTGTATATGTACATTTTATGCTTTGCCTCAGCATGTTTTCTTAATGTCTTCATTAGTGATGAGAATGGCAGGGAGCTTGAAAGTGCCTCATGTTAGAGAGAGACTACTTGCTGCTCTTTGATGTGAGATATTGAACCATAAAGTGGATATTTATGTGCAAGAGAAAGGCCTTCAAACCATTTTGTGCCAATATACAGTGGTTTAAGGATGAAGAACTCTTACAGAAAGCAATAGTCCTAGCTCACTGTCAGCTCAGGTTAATTTAGGGCCTTTCCTTGCAAATCTCCAGCCTGAAGCAAGTGAAATAAATGTCATCTGGTGGAACACATCTGGACCATGCTCCATCAATCACGAAGTCTTGATTTTCATGTTCTAATAGCAACCATTGAATCATGCATATCCACCCCGCTGGAGGTGGTCAACTCCTTTTTAACCGAAGCTATATCTTCCTGGAAAGCCAGCATAGAAAGTTAAATGATGTCCTCTTTGTTTACGACGCCTCTGATGATACTCATGTTTGTCATGTTTGTCATATTTGTCTTGTTACTTCTCACGTATTTGTCCCTAAAGTAAATTTACGTCGATTGAGTACTCTGTCGACCAATAAACTTGAATTGAATTGAATTGAATTGAATCATGCATAGTGGGCATACTGACAGGCATTTATGCAGTTAAAAATCCTGTGGATCACATCCCACATATGTTTTATTGCACTTTTAACACATTGACTGCCATGTCATCTACATGTGGCTGACAGAGCCATAGTGTGTTGTAAACCCTGGCAGTCAATGTGTTAAGAACTGTCATTATTACCTTCTAGCACAACTTCTTAACTTGTTCATTTTGCACACCATATTTACTCCTTGGACAGATAATTCTAAGTCACTTCCATGGGAGTTGTTTACATGCATGCTATTTTTCATGTAATCAATAGTACAGGGTGATTTTTTATTCATGAGACCATTATAAATATTTATAATCTTGGAACAAATAGAGTTAGATGACTGAAATTTCACATCAAGAATCCAAAAACATGGGAAAGTTATACTCTATGAAAAAAACATGTTCAATGTGTCCTCCTCTGCATGCAATCACTGGTCATAGGGGAGTAGTGTAATTCTGCACAACTGCCTACAGAGTATCCCAGGAAATGGAGTAGACTTCACATTCTGTGGCCACCATCAAGTCTCCAAATGTGCATGGATTTAACCTTGCCATGAAGACTTTGTCCTTTAGGTATCCCCAGAGGAAATAAGTCACATGAATTGAGATTGGGTGGAAATGGTGGCCATACTAATCCACCGCTGTGGATATCAGACAAATCTTCTAGACAGCATTCTAGTACTGGAGTCTCATGCAGGAAGTCCAACACAACGTTCACTGTGTTGACAGGCCATGACCTCAATCCATATGACTATTTTCTCTGGGGATACCTAAAGGACAAAGTTTTCAAGTCAAGGTTAAATCCATGCATGTTTGGAGGCTTGAAGGCAGCCACAGAACGTGAAGTTATTCCATTTTCCTGGATACTCTGCAGGCTGTTGTGCAGAATTACACCACACCCCAATGACCGATGATTATGCATAGAGGATGACACATTGAACATGTTTCTTCATAAAGTATAACTTTCCCATGTTTATGGATCCTCGATGTGAAATTTCAGGCATCTAACTTTATTTGTTCCTAAAATATAAATATTTACAATGGTCCCATGAATAAAAAAATCACCCAGTACTTCAACTTGAAGTATCTGGGGGGAAGATTGGGCTAGGTAGACCAAAGACACATCACAGCCCTCAAGGTGTCAACAACATGGTGAAGTGCATTTCAATAAATATGTAATTTAACATTTTCATGCTGGTGAAAGTGGAAAGCATTAACTCTTTCAACTCCATTTTTTCATATCACTGTAACAAATGTTGGACTGATCTGACAGGAGAGTGCAAAGGGTTAAGTGGTGTTAGAACCACAGGAAAAGAATTGGGAATTCTGAACTCACCGCTGGATGATTTTCACCCAATGTTTTCTCACGGATGGCAAGTGCATCATTCAGCAAGTTAGCAGCTTCTTTATACTTATTCTGATCTCTATATTCAAAAGAAAAAGGAAACAATATTTTCACTGATAATGAACAAACCATGCAAACAAAATTCATTATGCAAGTCAGCTTGGCAAAAATAAACTGTAGCCACACAGAAGCAAGTAATAGGGATAGGGAGATAGGGAGACAAAATACAAGGCCCCTATATTTTCTGTGTTTCAATCACATCCTTCCACAATGCACTGGTATAAAACTAAATATTGGCTTTATTTATCAAACATGTACCTGCCATTGGCTGAGTTGAACCTAGAGCAGGGGTTGGGAACCTTTTCAGCCATGTGAGCCATATTAAGATTGAGCTAAGTACTTGTGAGAAAAAATTTTAAGAAAAAATTTTTTCCTGAAGTTGGCAACAGATAAGCATTCTTTGATACATGAGAAACAACCACAATTTTCAGCCATGACTCAATGAACCAAACCAAAGGGGTCGGCCTATGGCTCATGAGCCATAGGCCGACCCCTGCCCTAGAGGAAAGTTTTTACTTGTAACATGGAAGTTGGTGGGAAAATGCATTGACAGGTGATTTTTTGCAATGTACATTCCTAAGTTAGGACCATCAAAGACCTTGTCAAAAAATCAACAGTTTCACTGCTGGACCAATTTTGCAGCATTATTGTGGCATGCCATGTCAAATATACTTTGTTGGCAACAAAAATAAGAACACTTAGAATGAGCGATGCTACAGCCATCAAACTTAGGCCATTTATTGGAGAAATTGAGAAATCCAAACAATCAATCATACTCCAATACCTAGCATTCTGGTGGTGTGATACAATCATGTGATATGGCCTCCTCTGGCTGTGATACAAGCTGCCAAATGATGCTTCCAGGGGTTTCATACCCTTCCATATCATATGGCCTTCACATGATTGTATCACACCGCCAGAAAGCTATATACATTTGAGAATGATTGATCATTTGCATATCTCGATGTTTCCAATAAGTGGTCAAAGTTGGGTGGCTGTAGGTTTGCTTGTTCTATTGTTCCTATTTTTTTTTGTTGGTAGTTTATATGACTGAAATGGTGGCAAAAGTTTTAAAATGGACAGGGGACATAAATGAGAAAAACTGACATGACAATCATCAATATTGAGACAAGATCTTTAGGAAAAGCCTTTAGAAAAGCATTAGAACAAAGCCAGAGGCACTGTGCTCTCATCTCACTTCACTAGATTCTTTTATTAGGAGTTCTGCAAACACTCTTGCTTACCAGATCAAGATGAACAACATTTAGGAACTGAAAAACTGCATCCAGAATGCAGCTGACTACTTCAGTCACAAATGCTCAGCTATGTTTTTTGCAGCACAAGTGTAAGACGGGAGGTGCATGATGACATCAACAGCAGACGAGATGAGATTTAATGTACTGGCTTACTTACTGGAGTATATGTAATTCATGTTAATGCAATATGGGATTAAAGTACTTCTTAGCCTATTGAAAATTGCACATTGGTGGTATTTCTTTACCTGTACACAAGAGCAAGGATGTTTAGCATCGTTGCAACATCAGGATGATCATGACCACTAGTTTTCTCTAGATCCTCTAAGGCCTGTTTGCAAAGTGGGACAGCCACTTCATATCGGCCTTGGGAAGCATACTGAATCACTAGGTTGTGGAGAGTTCGTAAACGGGCGGGGATCTCATAACCTGCATTCACTTGCTGTGCAAATTGGCTTGGTGGAGTAGGAGATATTGCTGCAAGAAACAGAGAAATAACAATTTTGCATAAGGTTAACACTCATCTTAGGCTAACTGTGTATGACTCACTCTGTCGGTCATCTGCATCATCATCTGGAAAGAGATCAACTGTTGAGGAAGATTCTTCACTGCGTTCAGATTTTGCATCAAGGCCAACATCTTCCTGCTGCAGTACCATGAATCAGAATACCACATTCATACATTAATTCCACAGAACCTGCCCAAGTGCCTCATACAGATAAGACTTCAGCTCACCGGATTTTCAGCTTCATATTTCTTGATAGAATTCATGAATTCCAAGTGCTTCTTGTCCTCTTCCAATTGAGCAACAGCTTGCTCCGAGGCTTGGAGCTTCTGCTGAGTCGAGGCCAGCTCGTCCCGCAGCCACGCATTCTCTTGACACAACCGTCTCACTTGGGCTCGCAGCTTCTGCTTCTCTGCTTCTACCATTTGCAAGTGAGATGCCAAGGACAGCATCACCTGGAGTCAAAATGATCCATATTAGACAATTCACAGATATTACCAGAAGACATGAGATGCAATTAGGACATTTTTCATCCAGAATTATGTAGTATTTATGATGCAAGATCAGTTTAGTCATAGTTACAGTAATTAACATTCTGTTTGAAAATGGATGCTGCAAGAGTACTTACATTCCAGACAGTTTTAAATGGACAAATGAATTGATATTTCATGAGATGAAGCATTACACATCCACACCAATGTTTTCTTTGACCTGAATGCAAATTCATGACTGCACATTCATGGATAATGCTTGTCCTACCAGGGGGAGGAAAATCTTGCTCAAGGAATTTGCAATCAGATGACAAGCCACTGATAGCAATAACGTTTTTCAAAGCTTTGCTACATCCTGATAAGGTGCACTTTAAATGCATTTTGCAGGTCCATTCTGCTCTTTAGTCAAATAAGAAATTTGTATATTTCATTACTTACAAAATGGGCCTTGAAATAAGCAAGCAAAAAATTATCATTAAAAATCCCGTGATCCCATGGCATGAAACCTCTGAAGAAAAGATGGCTAAAATTTTTTTATTTCTTCAACTGCTTAAAGACTATGAATTACCATTGTAACCAAGCATGACTCCTTAAAAATCCCAATTCTTCTACTCCCTTTTAGCTGCTAATGGACTCTCATTTTGTACTCCCCTTGCTTACAAATCCATTAGCATTAAAAGGTTGAAGAAGAGGAGAGTCTAAAGGTTTTTTTAAATTATCATCTTGAACTAACTGCTTTGGGCTAAAAGGTTTTTCACCTATAGGTCCAATCAAATGGGGTAAGTCTAGTCAAAAAACAAAAGTTTCCTTGGTTGATTGGTAAAAATATGAAATTTTACATGGTAATTTAGTGTATACTGTACCAGACTGTTAGCTTCAAATAAAGGTATTTTCATTTGCTTCAAAAACCGTACAAGTTCATAGCATTTTCATTGAAAAGGTCATTGTGACTACACTTTCTCCATCAGAGGACTGAGTGTCATCATCTGGCAAATGACACTGGGGCCATGTCATCAGACCAGAGCAATCAATATTAATTTTGCATTTAATGCAAGTCTTTGATTTGCATTATATACTGATGTCAGTGTTTCCTCCAGTGATTCAGGTTCCCCTATTTTAGGGGAACAGGGAGGGTGTCATCAGCAGGAAAATGGTGCTGCACCCAACTACTTAAACTAAAAGATGAGGGAAAAAAAAAGGAGAAAGCAAACATCTGTAGGTGGAAACAAACTCCTTTGTTTTTGTCATTTTCAATCAAAGATGCTAAGAAAAACCTTCAATTTATGTTTCACCATTTTCAACAACACCTGTTGAATGTGACTGCTACCAATCATTATCCTTATCAAAAAGTAATTGCTAAGGGACAGCATCTCACTTTTGGATAATCACTCACTCTCACCTGTGAATACAAATTTCTAAAATATGGTTTTCCAGTAAACTCTTTCTGGAGTGTTCCCCAATATGCATTAACACAAGGGTCCAAACCAGTCTTGTTCCAGAGTCAATTTTTCATTCTCTGAGGTTTGAAATCTTCTGTAGCAGTTGATTCATCTTCCAGAAACAATGTGTCACATGCTGTAATTATTGGTTACCTGTTTCTGTGATGCACATGCCAGACTTGATAGAACCTGAAATTAGGTCATCTAATCATCCCCAATTTGCATCTTCTTGATGAAGTAGTTTAGGAAAAACTTTAGGAAACAGTTTACATGTAGACTAGCTTAAGAATCTGTAACCAATGATGATCCAAGAATCAAATGTCAACTCCCATAGATTTTGGACAGGTACCCTAACCTGGAGAAGGTACCCCAGTAACACTTCTCTGAACTCTGTGAGTGCCCCTGCACTGAACGAATACAAAATACTTGAGTGCCTTGAACATATCTCTCAATTGAAGAAATGGGAATTGACTGGTCATGCGATGCAGGATGGGCATGACGTAGTAGTTCTCAAGGCATACTTCATTGATGACATATTGCGCTCCTAACAAGAAGGGTACTGACCACACTTACGCCGAATGACCGTGCATTATTTCTTTTTCTGATTGAGGCTTTGAAGGCCCTCATTGTAATGCACGCCTTCATCCATGCCTCCTCTATCACAGGAAGATACCCATCAAGCCCCAGGTGGCTTTTCTTTCGGAAGGTTTTGTGGCAGGCACGCGTCCGTGAAGGGAACCTAACTGACCGTAAAATAACAAAGAGATGAAGCCTCAATGTGAGTGAAAAAATAAATAAAACCTCTGCTAGTAACTCCACCTAGAAAGTAAGGTATGTGTAGCAGTGTGTTCCTTGGGAAGATGAATCCCACTTTCCAGGGAAGATGAATCCCACTTTCCAGGAGGCCTGAGACGGGCAGAAGTCAACTGTGAGGATTTGACACTCCTGAAGAAAAAAACCCTATCCATAACCTCCCACAGGGACCATAACTGCCTTTCCCTGACCGGAAAATGCGATTATCCACGCGAGAGAAGAGTAAATGAAAAATGTTCGCGGGTTGGCTGAGCCTCATTCCGAATTCCCTGCCAGACTCCAAGTCGAGGCCAGGAATGTCCCATATTCCTACCATCCCAGAGGGAAGCACAAGTGGATCTGGAGCAAACAAGGAGAAAGGGAAAAGAAATACACGCAAATTTCGCCTTTCTCCTGAATGAGCAATCTCCCTCGAGATTCCTTCGCCCTCTTCTTATCGAGGGAGAATATGCCAAGATGATCTCTACTCGAGAGAAGAGATGAGACGATCCTCCAGTCACGCATAGACTTCTTAGATTCACGATCCGGAAAAGCAATGAGATGACTTCCGTGCTCGAAGATATGAACTTCACTCTATTCTTCGGAGGTGTCACATCCGTGGGCATTAAACGCCTACGAGAGAGACCAATCAACATAGCTCCGAGGGGTGTATAGATTGGGTTCTTCATCTTACATGGATGGACGTGGATGTATTGACCGAGGAAAAACAATCATCGACACTGGCATTAATGAGTCAGAAATAGAGCGGGCCACGAAGCTCCTAAAGGGATGTATGATGAAACGAGTCGTCTACCCTTTCCCCGATGTTGCCATGACGATGCGGATAAAGGGCACAGGTCGCCTATGCCTCAAAGTACGGGAGAAAGGCGGGGGGCAGCATTTCATGAATGTCGCGTGATGCCAGGAGGGAAAACAATTACGTCTCCGTTTCCCCAACATCGCCATATCATCCACAATCACGGAGAGGAAAGCAGGAGAGAAAGAATAGAGCAGGAAATCCATTACTGGTGTATCGTGATCCCTTCGGCCTGGATAGGGAGCTCTTAGCGGCCCGGAAACTCATTTCTTAGGATTTCCCTATCTATCAGATTCCCCTCATTGCATGTGCCACGAGTTGGCCCAGTCATTACTCCAGATCGTAAACATTGTTGATGCCATTGCTTTCTTCGACTTTACACTTCTTAGCGTTGAGACGCGGAGTGTAATGTGAGATGTCAATACAAATCAACAAAGGAAGTCAATAGTGGAGAAGGCCTTCTTTGACAGCAGGAAGAACGCACCCCCTCTGTTTCAATATATCTTAAAAGTAAAAAAAAAAAAAAAGATCCTTGAAGGGAAGATCGGTCTCTGGATATGTGGTTAGGGTAGAGAAATTTTCGCTACTCGGTCAATGCCTGCTCAAGCACAACAGTAACCACAAGTGAAATGGGCTTTCCTGCCGCTATTCACACAAAAATGCAAACAGCTGAAGCAATGAAATTTTGAGCGTTTACCCGACATACCGAGTGGAAAAAGGACAAAGGCGAGAGCGAGGGGAACGTACCTGTGCTTCCCCGATGCCGAGTTCGATCATCTCCAGGGACTTGTGCACGAGGGAGGCCTTCTCCCTCATTAAATGGGCATCAAGTCTCTCTTGCTGGGCGGCTCGAAGGGAACCTTCAAGTCCGGACAGGATGGACTTGTGCTCCCCCCGTAGAGCCTCCAACCCCTGGAACACCGTCCTCGTCGACGACACGATCTCCTCCTGGCTCATGTTCGCCATCCCTCCCATGCTCTCGGTCTTCTTCCTGCAATACACAGGGAGAAGGATGTCGACGACTGGGCTATATAGGATAGGCTTGAAGAAAGAGAGAATTCTAGGAATCGCACATTGTAGGATCGGATGCAATAACGAGAGGGGAGCATACAAGGCAGAATGATGATGGTTCGCAGAACTTTCTTACAGGCCTCATATCCTGCCACGCAATTACGGCAAAACAATGAAATAAAAAGACGGGCACATGACGCGTGTGACCGATGCTACATTATACAAAGCACATTTGACAGCACTAGATGATTTAATATATTTTCATGGTTATTGATTATCCCTTGAAAAAAAAAACTAGTGAAATATAATAAATCAATGCACTTTAAGCGCATTTCTCAAGATCGAAACACAGATATATATACATTTTAAGATTTATGTTATAGTATTATGTACAAATAAAAAAAGCACGAACCCCATTGGATGTAATGGGTCAATCCAGCTCATTAAAAGCACATTGGCTACGAAAGCATGCACATATTCCCTGGCGATCCCCCAGAAATCCTAAATGAGTTTCCGCGAGACTCACACAGGAGTCCACATTTTTAATCAATAAATTCCACATTTTCTTGATCCTGCGACTCCTGTGAATAGGCGAGAAATTTCAAAGAAACTACGGTCGTTTCTCTGTTATCAGGTCAATGAACTAACGCATCGTGTCACTCATGACCAACTTGCCATTGACTCTTCCCTCAGATAACGGGCACTTTCCCAGATTCCCTGGCTGATCGTGAGCATGCAGGGATCTTCAGGTTTCGGTCACTTATTTTGTGAACAGACGACTCCTCATTCATCATATCATCTGAATGCAAGGGATTATATTGCCTGAGTAGCCGCTTACAATGACGGAAGCTGGGAATTTCCTTCTCATACACACGCATTCATTTGGATTTCAAAGGAGACAGTTTGGACATACCCGCGTTAGCAAGTGACGTGGGATTCGAAGAAGGGAAACGAGTTCCGCAGGGATGGGAAAAAAAAAAATGCTTGAAAATTTATACGACAGACTCGAACTCACGGGTGGACTCCACCCCATGATTCCACGCTCGTGAAATCAATCGTTCCATTTCATCACCGCATAATAAACAAGGACGGGCGCAATAAGCGAACGGAGCTGGGGTGAGGCGGTGGGTGGAACGTAAACGCGTGTGGTATTCCCAGCGACCTTGGACACTTCCCTCTCTTTTTTAGATAGTGGCAGTTATCAGGAGTGAAATGCCCGCAGGCAAAATGACCAACACATAAATCATTCTTTTTTTTTCCACAGCTTAGCTCGTTGCCATTTGCGCAATCCGCAGTCTGCGGAGGCATTTTGACTCCAGGCTTGAGGTTTTCCCGGATTCACGACATTAACACTACCAAAATACGAAAAACAGTTTCAAGGTCCCTTTGGTTTTCGACTGAAATCGTGGGAGGAAAGAGCCTTCAGAATCCTGAGATGTCTCATACAGAGTGATGGATAGCCAGGAAGAGACATTACGGACCTCATATCACAGGAGCGGAATTGGACCCAGACCCCCCAATCGCACCCATCATGCAACCGAAAGTCAGGGCACTCTCCTCTCTCCTCCCCCCTTCCCCTTCCCCTTCCCCCTCCCCCTCCTCCCCCCGAGCGTTGTCGGTTTCGACTGCAACGCCGAATCCGTGTCACGGCCAACCGATATGCGGTCCACCCGCATTCTCACATTAAGGGAACACCAAAAGAACGTGGAAGAGAGAAGGGGGAAGGAGACAGGAGCCTACCCTCATGAAAGTGGACGACCGGGATGTCTCATTTGTCTCAATAAAACGAAAGAGCGAACACGATACTTTCCTCTCTCCTCCTCCGTCGATGGAAATGCCATATATTTCCCCTCCCTCTCGGAAAAGAGTCATCACCGTAACGCTATCTTCAGAAGCAGCTCTTCCCCCAACCCCACGTGCCAGTTAAGCAGGACTTGTTATCTAAACGATAAAAATAACCGAGTTGTCCTCCATGATACTCGACTCGGGCTGGAACGCTTCCGTTGGAATATCCTCGAGCCCACGCGAGACTGAATGGCGCTATAAGAGGCAACACGGTTTCTGAGCTTTAAAAATGGAATTTGGCAAATATTGGCAAAAAGCAAAATGCGAAAAACCTAGAATCTCAAAACTTTACTTCTTCGCTGGCTAAAAAATCTGCGATTGACAATGTTTCTCTCAAACGGAAAATAAAAAGTAGCTTGTGGACAAGATAGCTATCACGAAGCATACTAGTAAAAAAAAAAGAAGCAAATTTGGCAGAGTTAACATAAATAAAGCCAGTTTGCCCCTATTCGCTTTCTTCGCATGAATGAACATGAATAGGCGATAACGCGAGGCAAATCTCCAAACATATGGTATCATGTAAACCTTTCAGAGTTTTATTTAATCCCGCTTTTTACGAAATTAAACTTGTTTGGAACTCATGTACCGTAGTTTTCTTCAGTTTTTTTACAGAATGACATAAAAACAGGGTTGAGGTCCGCCCGGATCCCAGTGCATAGAAATGAGATTAAATCATCAATCAACAAGTATTAAAATATGCACTATTTAAAAATCACGTCAGCTCTGAGTCGAGTTGTCAACGGGAAAGAGGATGGGCACATGGGACAGGATCCGTCGAGACGGACTTCCAGTAAACCCATCACCTATATCCTTTTGAAAGGAAATGGGGATTGTAGGAATCAAGGCAGTTTACGTGAAAGCTTTCGAAACCTGTCCCGGGGGAAATATCGTGGGTGATTCCAGAAGTTCATCCGGGATTCAAATTTAGCGTCTTATCTGGCCAAAAGGAAGAAAATTTTCAAATGACGACAGCACCCCTTTCTTTTCGCATTAAGAACTTCGTCATAACGTGCCAAGTTTGCCGTCGTACGTGAAACTTTTAGATGAGGAGCATCCTTTTTCCTCCCTTTTCCATTTTCCAGTCAGGTAGCTCATCGATTTTGATTTTCCCCAGAGACAGCAACTATTCTTTCCCTTTATAGTGTAGCTATACATTAGCCTGCTTTGTAGGCTAATTCATACAAAAAAATATATATTAATGAGCTTGCGAGCGAGCCGCAGGTTCATACGTTCTCTGAAAGTCGAGATGCGCCGACATGCTAATGGAGGATAGACCCAATCCTCTCGTGACACGGGATCCTCTTAAGGGCTATTTTTAGTCAGGAAGAGCATTGCCGAAGTCGTGTTTTGATTAGCGGATGAGGAAAGTTGCGGAACAACAAACGATGAAACGATAAATAAAGAAATGACGGACGATAAACGCCTGTCGTTGGCACGCTCCAAAACTTGTATGCATAACGCCCCGAGGAACGAGATACTAACTTTGTGTTCGCGTGCATTCTCTCCAAAGGACATCAATATCGCATGAAAGTCAGCAGCGTGTTAGTTGAGCCCTCTGCACATGGGTCGTATTGTCTTGTTACTGGGAATGCGGCCACGCTGTCGACATCGACCACCATCTGAAAGCAGGCAGGTCATAAAGGGCGAGGATTCATTCCATGGGAGTTTCGTGCAGCGGACACGTGATCGGTATCACTAGGCGACGGAGAAACAAGACATAAAAAAAAGGCGCAATAACACGACGGAGCATCGTAATCCACTTCCACGAGCATCATAACCCACTACCGCGATCCATCTCCCGCACGTCCCACGTATGAATCCTAACTTACAGGCGATAGGCACTCGGGGTCTTGGACATCCCCGGCCCGGCGACATCGAGCAGACCGACACAGTGCCAAGAGCAGTCACGAATGGCAGAGAGGAGGTGGACGGGGGGGCAAGGGAAGAATGTCGGAACGGAAGGGCTGGTGGATGGGGTCCTTACAAACCGGCCAGGTCCCGGGTCTGGCGCAGGGTCCCTAACGCCGCATAAACGGGGGCTCGCCTCCACATCGTGAAACCCAGAATCGATCAATGCAAGGAAAGCGGAGAGAACAAAGCTAAGAATGGCTCCCCCTGCCACGTCATTTGGAAAATAATCTCCTCTGTCTAAATGCATTATCAAGGACGAGCAAACACGTGGTGACTCGGATATCAAGACCAGAGCACACAGTCGTGGTGAATTTCTCATTCCAAAGGAGCTTTCTTCAGAGAAAAGCGGCAAGAAAAAAAAAACATCCATCCTTCCTAACATGAGCAGCGGGTCAAGAACCTTCCTTTGTGTACTTGAATCCTCTTGCAATTCCTCCCCACTCACTTTTATTTACTTTCGAGGGCCGAGGATTTCGCATGCTCCATGGACGGCATCGAGGAAGGTTCTTGAGGTTGAGGTTCTTTTCGTGGCCTTCACGCGAAGATTCGATCAATACGGATCCCCTCCAAATCGAATTTTCCCATCTTCAAGTGAGATGAGGCCCACAAGGGATTCAACGTAATGGAGATCATCTATGCTACCGCAGGAACAGCCTCCTGCAGCTCCACAGAAAGCACGGGACGTGGAATTAGGGCAACCCTGGGGTTTCCTTCCTCAAATTCCGCAGTGATACATCAAGAAAAATTTTGAGCTGTCAAGCAGTTTTTAGGACCTCTAAACACACAAGCACCCAAAACACCAAAAAAGGCTTCATGAATGAATTTTCACAACGTGAAAATTCTTATGCAATCAAACGTTCAAAATTTTTTGCAGATGCTGATGCGCTGCTGATTAACACGGAGCCTGTCGCTCTGAATACAGTATCGCCTCGAGGCATCTGAAGGAAGAAATCTCGGCTAGTAAGAATCCCATTTGCGATAACCCCAAGGTCCATCGAATTAGTACGATGATGAACTTCCATCCCCAATAATTGTGAGCGGATATGAGGTCTCTGCTCTTACTACTGCCATTTCCACGAAACTTGCAAACTGCATTTATTGATAGATTGGGTGAGATTCGCGAAATATAACTGAAATTCACCCCGCAAAAGCAAAGGTTCGAGCAATCACCCCAAACCAGTTGCATATTGAAAATGGACATGGACAGGGACTGAAGTCCCTCGTCGATTTTCAATTTCCAACTTCTTTTCGATAACCTTTCAGAGCTTTGCTGTAGCCGAACGAATTTGCAAAAAATGTCAGCACTAGGTCGCATCTTGCACGAGACCCCCCAAACGGCAGAACTCCAAAGCGAATCGATTGCACCGTTGCCTCATATTCCCAAAACACTGCAGTAAGTGTTACCACCGGGAAACCAATTCGTCTGGTAGTCAAGACAACCGAATCAAATGTGAGACTTATGCGAAGGCATGGAATGGAATGTCAAGGCAGAATCGGATGGAAAAGGGCAATTTTGTACGACGACTGCTACATCTGCAAGTCGTCTTTGGAAGGATTATTGTAAAATAAAGTCAGCTGCGCCGGAGAAATTTGCTTCCTCCCACGAAGATTGAATTACACTCTGAAACATCTGCTTTCGGCAGGGAAATCATGGAAATGTCATTTTCGGCGCTTTGAAGGAAGCGTCCTCCCCCGTCCTTTCCGGGGGAAACTCATGGATGCGGAACGGAATGTGGGATGCAGCGACTGGAATCTCAAGGTCGTTAGCCGAATCTGAGGTTCGTCGAAGGGCTAGTTTTCCTCGAAATCTCTACCTCGGAGGGCTGGCATGAAGTCGAAGCGATTGCGGGTAAAAATACAGAGCTTCAATGAGAGTAATTTTGCTATAGAGAGCATTGTAATGCAAATTTTTGACTGCGGGCTGTCATGGGAGATTCTTTTGAGGGGGAGGGGAATGAATTTTCATTTTCTTAATAAGGACACAAAGGACAGCAGGTAAAGACCTAAAACTCCACCCTCAATCAAGGCACATAAAAAAGTTCTGTCACAGAATAATTAGCTCTTGACGCGTAGCTCGATGCCGAGCTTGTTACACCACCTCTGCCAGGTGCGCGATCAGCTGACACACGCCAATATGCTTGCAATTTGACGGCTGTTTCATCCCTGTCACACTGATGTCTTCTACTTTCGCTCCCGAGACGTAATTGACAGGTAGTTGCAACATTTGTCCGTTTTTCTCATCCGGATAAACGGGGGCAAGATTGCACAAGGGGCGAACTTCCAACAGTTCTCCATGGAGATAGGAATAGTTATTGTCTGGTGAAACTTAAATATAGAGTACTCATACTCATGAAGATGGTACACCATGACGGTGTATACACGAACCAGACCACAACTAACACGAGAAAAAAAAACCATCGGAAGAAGCTGCTCGCAGAGGAACACATTGTCTCCTCATATGACGTATGACACCACACGACAGAGAACAGAAACTTTTCATATCAATTCCGCTTGCCAAAAATTGGATTTGGAGACGGTCTCTCTGTGCCACTATTTTTCTCTTTCTTCCTCATGCTGACACCCCCAGTCTCCAGCACGTTCAGCTGCGACTCAACATGCGACTTCAGCTCTCGCTCTTCCAGTGGGATCTGTAAATGTGTTCCTTTCAAGACTTGCTTACTTTTCCCCCTTGCAATTTTTGTGAACTTCAAGTCATTCTCAGAAACCATCATTCCGTCTTGCACGGGGTGGGCAAGTGAAACTGGGAGCTAATCTTGCCTCTTCTTTGTAAGGGTTGAGGCAGACATGGTTATCTGTCGCGAAAATTACAGGTGGAAAGTCATCCCAGTGCACTTTCACCCCAACCATGTGTAGGTCAAAGATTAAATCACATCTTGTAATTATAGTGAATCGGAATGCGGAGGCGAGAGATTCCACTGAAGAGAAAGTGGAAGTAATCGCCGCGCGGAACCTATAGAAAAGCGCGCCCAAATGCCTATTCCTGCCGTATATGCAGAAATTCAAGTTCCAGAACGAATTCCCATTTTCCGTCTTTCAAACGACGAAACCTACGAAGGAATGCTGCAATCCTGAAACAGAATGCCGAAAATGAATTTAAAATTCATTTTCATCGTCGTCTAAAAAAATGTCCTCCATAAGATACAAGAGGCACTGCCGACCCTTGAGATTTTCATCATCCGGCCCAAAGCCACATTTCCGAGAATCACTGTCGCGGACTCACGATGCACCCGCTCAATTATTCATGGCCCTCTCCCAAGCGGCAGAGCAAAGAGATCCAATATCTTCCCCAGACGAAAAAGAAATTAAAAGCCAAACGACGGACCACCACCTGCCAGGAAGGCACGACTCAATTATGCAAACCGCGAAGCCTCACCCGGATTGACCCATCGATTCCTTACGAGGGGGGAATGCGGTTATCTCCGGAAGGGGAAATGAAACCGGCTCCCTCGGGAACTTAACTTTGAAACGAAGACGCATCTACCCTCTGCGATCTCTCACAGGGACAACTTCATTTACAGTTCCAAATGAATCCCATCCAATATTCTCTCCATTTTCTTTGCGATACAGCGGGGGCATTTCGGTCTTCGCTGAATTATAAAAGCTACCAGGATATGAACCAAAAGTTCCGTTTTCATACAGGCGGGGACACGAACTAAAAATTCATGAAATATGCGCATAAAAATCAAAGACACAAACATGAAATTGGCTTACGATGCAAAAATCGGCACTTAAAAGTACCTTATGAAAATGCTAAACTAAGCACTTGAAGGGGTTTTTAAATTTCACCAATCGCATACTTCCCAAGAGATTCGTGGTCCTATATGGGTTTCATGCCTCGATGAGGCTGCAACAAAAAAAAACAAGCGGAGGAAAAGTCCTATTCCTGGTCAACATTCTTCAGTATCGTTATCGTTGGAACGTATGATTGAGCAAACCAAAACCGAAATGCAAATCAAGACTCTTTCTCCCTTAATCCCAAGGTCTTTTTTTTTTGGCAAAAAAAAAAGACAACTTCTTGGGATGAAAAAAACGTTGATCTTATCGAAAGCCAATATCCCCCCTCTTCTTCACATCAAACTATCTCTTCAAGCGGTAGATTCGATTAACAAAATCTCATTTCGTCCCTTTGTGATGGCAAGAGTCACCGATCCAGACAGAATAAGCTTCCGTGAAAGAGGAAATTCGAAGCTTTTCCCACGAGATACATCAGAGGCATCGCGACCCCCTTGCATTTCAATGACCTACTGGGAAGGCAGATGGAGATTGCAAATGAGTTTTGGAAGGCATATACGCCGAAAATCAATATGCGACCTCATTTCTTGCTCCTACGAAGTCGCCATTCCATCCGGCGACATCTAACGATTCTAGCCTCGAATGCCCGCCGGTATTGACTGGAGCCGCGAAGTCCAGGGATGACAGACTTTTGTGGAGCATTCCCTTAAGAGTTTGCAGCAATAGGAGGTAGTGATTATTGGAGCATGAATTCTCGATCCTGTTTTCACAGATATGAATTTCTTTTTTAGAAGGTACTGGAGCAAACATAATTACCTCGCTCACGCTACCCACAGCTAAGGGATGTTTCCAGCTTAGAATCTTAGAAAGCACCACTTCGGTATCGGCACGTGACTTGCCGATGCATCCAGAATGAAATTTCTGTTTGGCGCACAATGATTAAAGTGCCACATAAGCACGGAAATTCTCGAACTTCTCTTCAAGCGTCAGGCATAAAAGAACTTGCATCGGCATACCGGCTTTCTGGAGAAACACTGCCTCAAAGTCCTGATATTAGGTGTTTCTGCAAAGCCACTATAACTGCCACGGGAAGGACTCCGTTATAAACGTAAAAATTCCTCGAAACGTCCAATATTTACACAAATTGCATATGAATAACATGACACCGAGACACCGAACGGGTTTTTAATCCGAAAGCCTACCTGGCTCGCAAGATAGCCTTTGTCGATCCAAAGATCCGACGTGGAGGGTATCACGGAAATGCCAAAAAAATTAGCTCACTTGAGGCCAGGTCGTCACATCACACGGATCGGTGGTAACACGAGGACGACGGAGCCAGTCTGCATGACGAGTGGCTCACATGCACTGAAGCCAAAAGCCCCGCAACGCAAGCATCGTTCGACTGAATGACATGCAGGTCCACGCACGCATTATACTGCACGATCCAGTCATGGATAACCACCCTTCTTCGCTTTATGAGAATGACACGGCGACACCCTGATGATCGAATGCAGGGCGGAGTTCGGACTCCACTAAACGTCAGACAGAGTGAGAACTGCCCTGCTCAACGGGTGGGAATCGATCCATGCCAAGGAAAACAATCCTCTCGGCGGTGCGAAGGAAGGAAACCAATGAAGAACGAGAGGGAGAAGAAAGCCCGTTATCTCACCGCCTGGATGCGTGAGTCATCCCCAGCTCTCACGCCCTCGAGGCAATTGGGATACCCATCACTATCTCCATAAATGTCGGTGATATATGAAATATACTATAAGTCCTCGTTTGCATTCATATGACGGCCAATTACGCAGAGTATGGAAATAATATGAAGCGGGAAGTGATCGCGAAAGCCACTGTCACTCAGGATAGAAATAAAATACACTATCGTTCTTACTGGTTGGCAGATGGCTCTTCCATATCCTGTCTCACCATTCCACACCTACATATCGTAAAGAAAAGAAAAGCATTTCATCTTGACTTTTTTTCGGAACCTACACAGCTGCAATGAGGCAATGCAAAATTCTAATGTATTGTCTTGTTGAGTCTTCAGCCTTTTTCTTCACATTGATCTCTTACTGGTACATGACAAATTGTCAATTTTGAAGGGATATCAGATGCAACAGTAATCTTAAAAATAAAGGTTAGTAGCATCCCATACCAGCCCTTATATGATGAGGGATAACAATCAATATGTTGTAGATTTTGCAGGAACAGGAAAAAGCCATGATTTTCACCACTTGCAAGACAGCTAGTGAATTAATTCAAAAGCATCTCTGCAACACTAATTGGGCTTATTAGAGGTACGCCAGTGGCAAATGGAAGTACGACAATTTAAGTCAACTTCATAGAAGATGGACAATAGGCAGAGCAAGAGTGCAAGGTCAAATGATTTGTGCTTTCATACATACCCCTGTCAGCAAGGAAGAGCTCCTGAGAAGTACCTTTGGAAACTTGAGCTATCCCAACCCAGTATTGCAGCGCATCAATCTTTTCATTCCCCCAAACACAAAGCACACAGAATATGCAAATTACTGGCTCAGGACTCCCCTCCTCTTCATAGCTACTGGTTGTCATTTGCTTAAGCCCCCTGCCCCCACTTGCCACAACAGCCTTAAACTTATCCATATTGATGAGGAGGTTCTGAATTTAAAATTAAGCCATTTTAGAACAAATACATCCATCAAACACAACGTGACTTGCCAATAGAATGGTGGTAAGGAAAACTGGTCTATAGACAAAAACATAATGTATCAATATTCAGAAAGGAAGAGTGGTCCAGAGCATGTCCTGGATTTGTAATGAGACTCATTAAAGGGTGTTCTTCCACCCATAAAGAATTACATGCTGCGACATCACAGTAACACAACTGTCAGCTCCCAAAAGTAGTATGAAGAAGTGATAAAAAACAAATGGCTCACTTGTATGATCATATCATATCCCCTAATACGTTAAATAAATGCTGCTTTTCATGCTTCAAAAGCAGTTAATCCTGGACATGGTAGTATATAAATATCAACAGCTGAACATTAGGTTCACACATATAATATTCTAGTAACTATCCTCTTTGGGTGGCCAGGCATACCATGTGCACCTAAATTCCCCATTGTCAAAAAGAAAAGAGTCATTGAAGCTTTTTTTTGTTGTTAATTTGCTGCTCTCCAAAAAAACTGAAAAATACTCCCAACCAAGCTAAGACTTAATAGAAACATGAAAATTTGACTTTCAATGAAGTCATGAAGCATAGAACAGGCTAACGACTTTTTTTTTGGCAACACTGTTACTTATAGGCTTGTGATATGTAAAGCCAGTATGGGTAAGGAGGATTGGAAATCATTCCTGCATAGTAAATTAAAAATATTTAAACTCATTGCCTCAGACAATTCAAGATGTGAACCCAATATAAAATTTATAAAACACCATGATTCTGTCATCTGGAAAAAAAAGGCACAGAATGGTTACTTATACTAAAATAAGTCATCATGACATGACCAGAAAAACACCATTGACAATTCTGATTCAATGTACTCTTTTTTGGCAAGGAGTTAGGAATATGCAATTGTAGAAAAGAGCTGGGAGGGCCATGAACTAGTATATCCATGGATCAATCCTTGTTTTTGAGGATGAATTACAGGCTAGGCCTAAATGCTCTCAAGTGTTAAGCTGACTATAGCCTGGACTCAAGGATGGGTACTGGTAGAGACCAATTCTGAACCAAAACTTGCAATGAAATATCATTCAGCTGATAAGAAAGACTCACCTCAATAATCAGAAGAGCATCCTCACTCAAAGATATTCAAAGGGTTTTCAAACATGCACACCTCTGCCAATTGGAGCTCAAATTGACACAAAATCCTCCAAGGATGGAGTCAGCGTACCTGTATGTTTCATGAACATCACAATTCACATACATACAGCATTGCACTTATCATGAAAGATAACTAGTTAAAGGCTACCTGATGACTGCATATAATATACTCTTCCTTGATGAAATAAGTAGGAAGGTATAACTAATACATAAGATCATCACTGTTTTAAAATTGTACATGCTTAGGCATAAAATATAAGATGAAAGAGGTGCAAAAAATCAAGTGCCAAGTAATAAAGAGACAGGAACACTGGTTAGTATTTTTAGGGGGGGGGGGGGGGAAGTAGGTTGGGGTAAAATTATGGAAGCATCACTCTATTAATGTTTTCTACATCCCCAACTGATACATTAACATTCCAGTGAGCTGGCAGACTCCCATTCTATTATGCTAAGTAATATATGCTATATAATCTGTATGTATGTATCAATATGCTAAGTAATCTCTCAATAAAATGATCTACCATAAATCATTGAGAAATTTATTACTGCTGACTTGGTCAAGCTCTCAGGTCATGTTCTGGTTCCAGGCATAAGAATTTTGCACCTTGAGGAATAAATGAAAAACACAAAGAAAATATAAAAAAAAGATAACTCATATACATGTTAACCCCTCACCTATCTATGGCATAATTCCAGCATTCTTGTCATCAGTGGTCTACATAAGGCCATGGTCTACACACTATATCTATTGATGTTTGACCAGTCTTTGGTGGTCTACACACAATACCCATAACCCTTCACTGTAGTGAGACACAATGAGCATTGTGAACTTGTCAATCTAACTCTCATACAAACTCTGTGAATGTCTTTCAATTGGCTTAAGAAAACATCACTGTGATGGTTAATTGAGCACCACCAACATTCTTACATATGTCATGGAGGCATGTCTTGGTTGGTGCTGTGCATTTTCCTAAGACTCTTCATTTTCAACTGTCTATGCACCAGTTATAGGATTGACAAAATTTGTCTGGCGGTTCATAGTTTTGTGTTGATATCCATACTGGTTCAATGTGGTGTAAGCAGCCTACCCATTGGATACAATGTTCCTAGTGCAACCTCATTTTGAATGATTGGAAGCAAAGTTTCCTGAACACGATGATTAACTACAAAATAGCATCTTTTGATGATCTTCCTTCCATCTAATTCATGGTTCCAGGAGGTCCAAATAGCCCCAACAATCGATGTCCATGGTTACAATTATTCTCTATTCCTCCTGCATCTGAGTCTTCAGATGAAAGCTCTTCAGCAGATCAGTTGTGATAGGCTGCAGCTAGAAGCCTATCACCATTGGTCTTCATTTTTCCCAGAGAAGAGCTTTGTCAACTTCCACTCATTGATCATCCCCTCCCATTGGCTCTCTCAAGTCAAAAACAGTCAAGACAAAACACACATCTCGACACAAGTTAAACCAATAATTTAAGATGTGGGTGCCACAACCCGTTAACAGTGAACAGTTACTTGTGACATGTTCAGTGCCCAGTAGTAGCACAGTTCCCTTCTGAAGGGAAAGCTGGCTATTGCAATGTCCATTCACATCTGTGAATTTAAAGAAGTCCTTCCCATTGCGAATTGATTGGTGACATTGACATCCATGTCTTGTGCACCTCAATGTGTGGTATTCTTTGACAGAACCATTAGTAAGCCTCTTCTTGCGTATTGTGGATTTCACCAACATTCCACACCTCTGGCAATTCAATGATTCATCCACATTCTGTAGCAGCACATGCTCATGCAAGAATGTAACACAGCTCTTTTCTGTAGCAATCACAAGTAAAACTCAACAGCCTTCAAGGTGAAGATGGAATGAGAATATGTCCAAGTTCTCATAATTTATAGGTTCAAGTCTTCCCCTTGATGACTATCCCTGATGCTCAGAGGATTAAGGGATTATCCCTTTACCTGGCATAGGTGGAATTAATTTTTTTTTTCTGGAATCATCTGGGAGGCATGGTGTCAACAAAGATATGGTTCATGTCATAAACCATGTCAAGATAAGGTGAATTCAAGTCAGGACTCCAAAATGTAAGAAATGTTATCAGAGAACCTGTTATGATGATGAGAAATGTTATCAGAGTACATCAACCTTCTTAAATGTTTTGGTGCATAGACCAACAACAATCAGAGAAACATCAATGTAGACCACCAAAGACAAAAAACACCATAATTCCTAGGTCAATAAATATAGCTTTGATTGAGAAGTCACATTGAGAAATTTGGGCCAAGGTATATATGGGTATGCAAGATTGGTTGAACAAACTATACAAAACATGTCAGTTTGCAGTCATAAGTGAATGATTTACTGTGGTTCAACAAAGCAAAAATTGATTACTGATAGACTAATACTATAGAACAAGAACATAGAACAAGATGGTTGATTGAAAGTTGCAAAAATTGATTCACTCCATCCACTCTGATAATGTTATAGCGGCATCAGTAGCTTACATGTGTCAAGAAGTCTCACTGAGCATTAAACCCTACTCCTGCTGCATTAAGACATCATATCTGAAATCCTGAAATATTCAGAGACCCACAGTATAAGAGTTAACTTGAATGCAAAGGTGGCATTTCACATAAGGATGGTCCAAGGGCATTCAAATATTCATCAAGGAGATGGTGAAGGCATAAGCATGTAATAGAATGGAATTGGAAATCTATTACACACTGCAGGCATGTAATGCATCCCACGAGTGGCTGAGCTGGCTAAGGCATGATCTTCAACATTGCTACTTTCTTCTGGGTATTTTTCTGGTGTCTCAGTGGAGTTAGGATAACTTAGTTGAGTCAAGTAAAAGGAAGAAATATTTGAAAACTATGAAAGAAGAAAAGCTTCCAGAGGACTCTTTTCCTTCTTTTATCTTTGCAAATAAACAAGCAATTCTTTGCTGTTCTTAAGTCTACTATGTCTATCTTAAACACTCAATCTCAACAGAAGAAAAAAATTAAATGACAAAAACACCATTGGACTTGTACAATGTGGTGGATTTGTATAAAAATGACTATTTAGCATATTTAGCTAAAGTCCATTTTCCTTCATATCAGCAATGTCTATATGTATCCCAAAGCAAAGACTTTGTTCTAGCACCAATTCCTGATAATTTAGAATTTAAAAGACTAGAAACAATTTTGCCAACCAGAAGACTTTGCTTTGCAGCATCTCGAGAGAACACCTAACACCAGAGCTTAACATAAAACAATGTGAGTATAGGTGATGCTTGAATGAGAACATATGACTTGAACAAAATTACAACATGGAACTACCAGGAGAAGAGATTTACTAAGTACAGATGTCATTTTGACTTGCTAGCATATCAGCTCATGATTCCCTTTGAAGTTCATGATAAGATTATAGGGCAATTCAACATTGATGTATTCTGAAGGAGAGAATTCGAATAAAATATATTCTTTTGGTCATTATTCATACATCATGTACATGGAATTTTGTCCATAGGCCAGGAACAAGGATAGGAACAGGATGACATCGTTCATTACTGCAAAAGTACTAGTGAGGAAACTTTAATTTCCAAAGTTATAATTGAACCATCTGCAGTCAAATTGTGGCCTTTAATCTGTATACCTTATTAACAAACATGAGATTGGCTAGATCCAAAAATAAAATAATGCCTGTCCAACAGGGACATAGTCAATTGAGTTCGAAGCGTACGAGGTACATAAAAAGAGATATACACTGCCAAGGTGTTCACATGACCGAAGTTACCCCTGAAACCTACGTCACGTGTCTACGAAATTACGTGATAGACGTCTACGAAACCTACACCGTTCGTCTGAAACTTTTGAAAGAAATTGATTGGCCTAATTATGAAATTGGTGCACTTAGGGGTTTGAAGAATTAAACATCAGACCTAAGCTCATCAAAAATGAGCCCAAACCATGCGCAGACGTCCAGCCATATGCCTAAAGCTGGATGTAGCCTCGAGGAACTCTTCGCAGTGGCAGAAAACATATGACGAGTCATAGGAAACTGATTAGAATAGATGCTCAAGGCCTACTCACATTAGGTCCGGTCATATTTTGCTCAAAAGATTTTTGATCTGAGAAATGAATATATATATCGCTCCACCTTCAATAGGAGCCCGTGAACCCACTGCCGAGGACACTAGACCGACATATTCCCTGAGCGTATTCGATTTGACCTAGGCGAGATCCACGCAAGTCGGCATCATCCTCGATAAACCTCTAGCACAGCCTCTACACTGTTTTCGAATTGAACTCGTTCCCCACTGGAGCGATTTCATCAATGCAGGTCGTGACACCTTTCACAAGGGTGATTTTTTTGGTTCGTCTGATGACGATGAATGACTCCATGGACGTAGGGGGGGGGGGGTGAAGCCAATACACTGTCTCGGCGACATACTCTTCCGATCATCTGATCGTGAATCATCCCTTTTCGCGACATTTTAATCTTGTTCATACCAAGGAAAACATAATGTGTTCAAAGAATGAAACCATTGTGATGCGGCCTGAATGAGAAGGAGGGGCTATCTAAGTTTTGCTTGTATAGGGAGGCGAAAGGGCGTTTTCATATATATACTGGATGGGGTAAAAGTGAGGAAACATGAGAATTTCGAAGAACTTAATTTTCTAAGTGACCGCTAAATGATAGCACATGTCCGGACTTTTTTCCCCATCCGTTTGGCATCAATACATTTTTGAAGCGCCTATTACCTTTATTCAGCCCCTTCCCTCTTCCTCTCTGCGGGCATCAAGAGAAATTGGATATGCTTCGCACCCCTCAAAACATATTTGCTCCAGGAAATTCGATGCTCCAATTCCCAGGAGTTACCGAGAACACTAAGGGTGGATTTTTGAACAGAGCATTATCCGATAATGCTGCTTTATTTACCGGATTTATAATG